CTCAATATATAGCGTGATGATGCTAAACTTAGAATATAATATTAGTAACTATACTGTGATGAAAAGACAAGACGATTCTATTGTCTATAGAAAATAATTCTGGGCTATTAAATGATTCTTTCCTTAGATACGAGTATATTGTAGTGTAATTACTAATGTTTATTTTAAAGTTTTTAATAAAGTTTAAGGTAAGTTGTCTTCATATTTAATTCTGATTTTAAGTCTTTTAAGGAAAGTAAACTCGAAGCATAAGATAAGTCCAATTCTAAATATTTCAAAAGTAGTCAAGAACATTACATTTTCTTATCTTTTTCATATGTACGTTGCATGTTTCATTATCTTGTATTTTCTAAATATATATCAAAATCATAGTCACTGCTCGATAATTTATTTCATACAAGAAACAAATGAAAAAGATCCGACAGTTTTAATGTGCCAATGTGTGAATAGCGTAATAAAATACGTTTATTTGAATACAACGAACGCTAAATGCGTACCATTACATATAATTGATCATTTTCATGGCAATTGGTTCTTGATTTATTTTTATTATCAATAAGACTAATATGATATTCAAAAACTTGATTTATAATACCATTGGGATATAAATAAATAGACATTAGTATCGGAATATGCGTAATTCTTTCAGACTAGACGGTCTTATAATAGAATTATTGAGTTTCTGATTTAAATCGTATTGTATTTTCAGATTTTGACTGAATGGTTTCATTACTTTGTAGAAATAAATTCCTTAGAAGTAACGACGATCACATTAAATATGGATTTAAGCAGATAATTGTTTTTTCACGTGTCATGTACCTATCTATTTTAAAGCTACACTTTTTTAGTGTAAGAAGCTAAATTCGCAAGTGCCTATGTATACTAGTTAATAGCAGTGGCGTGCAGGGTACGTGTAGGGTAAGTAGGTAATTTTCATAATTTCCTTTCTAAAACATTGATAATAATGAGATCTTTCGCAAGTATTCATTTAAATGAAACTAATATTTTCGAATTACTGCACATAATTTATTATTTTTAACCCCCCTCTCGTACCTCCGTGCCCGAGTGACGCCTACAATTACTCTACAACGCATAGTTAGCCGCAGAGCCGAAATTTTCAAAATTTCTAACTCGTGATATCTTTTGAATGGAATATCAGAATCTAATAATTTTAACAGTTATATAAAGGTTTTGAAACGATCTTAAATAATAAATCATTTATTTATATAAGGACTAGAAGTCCTGACGAACTTCGTATCGCTCTATAATCAAGAAGTATCTATTACGTTTTTTTATTTATATTTTTGGAGTTTACCTGTAAGCCATAAATCTCCGTGTTTTGAAGTGCGACAGAATGATTGACATATTAGTTAGTTGCCAAATCTAATGTCAAAAAAAACGTTTGTATGGGAAATAGAAAAGGCTTGTTTTTATGGTTTTCCCAGTAATGAATAATTTTTTTTCAGCTTTTATACCTTCCCTGAACCTCCACGAACATTTCAAGACTAAGATAAGATAAATCCGTTCAGCTGTTCTCGAGTTTTAGCGAGACTAAGGAACAGCAATCCATTTTTATATATATAGAAGATTAATACTGAGGTACAAATAAAGAGCCTTTTCAAGCAGTGGTATTTTAATAATTTTTTTTATATAAAAAATCGCTTAATGTGACAAAACTATAAAAGTTAGAGATACGATGTGGTGATGTTCTTTGTAGATAATGATGAGTTCTATAAAATTGTAATACATCACTTTGTTATATGTTTTCGGAGCGTTCGCGGTTAAAGAAAGTTTTGTGGTATATTTTTTTAAATTATCGAAGTTTTGGTAAGGAACCCTATTTTTTTTAAACTAAATTATAGCCTATGTATATACTCCGAGATGGTATAGCTTTCCAACGGTGAAAGAATTTTTCAAACGGGACAGTAGTTTCCGAGCCTATTCGAGACTAACAAACAAAAAATCAAACTTTATAGTATTAGTATAAATGAATCTCTCAACTACCAATTTGAGCCACGAAATATTACATACTTTATGAATCTCTCAACTACCAATTTGAGCCACGAAAGTACTTTAAAACGATTACAATCTGTTCATGACAGCTTTATAAAAGTTATTTAAATATCCAGTAAATATCCGGAATATCCAGTGGAAATTCAAACATTCTTCTTATTATCATTTGAAAACAACAAACAAAGCAAACAAAATAACTTATTTGTGTGAACACAACCTGCTAACTAATTAAAACTATCATAATACTTTTTATTAAAACGAATAACATTACCTTTCTTTTAGTTCATTCTTAACTGGTCACACACCTTCCCTCTACACTTATTTTAATTTTATTATCAAACGACAATATTGCACATCTACTCGTATTTCTTTACGATAAACACACGTCACAGACACAGAGATCACAGCTATATTTTCCATAATTCGTTAATAAATTAATCTACTGTTTACAAATTAAAACTTATTCACTGGCGCTTAGAAAGACAATTAATAACGTTTATTGAATAATAAGAATATGGTGAAAAAAATATATGAACAGTTTACCGACCAATCAGAGAGTCCCGTTTCTTTTGACAATTAACGGACTTTCTACGACATTTTAAACAATACAAAATAATCAGTGCTTCTCGAACACCATTCATGTGTTATTTTTACACACATACATACAAACATTTCCTCCATACATACACGACATTTGTAGATTGTCCTTGAGAATTTTTGTATGCAAAATAAGCAGAGAGTGGTTGTGTACACCGCAGCTCTAACTACATAGCGGCTATAGCAGTTATCAGCGGCCAATCGAAAATGTTTCGTATATCTATTGATAGATGGCACTTATTTGCAAATCGTGAATCAAATGTCATATTAAATGACTTTAAACATTTGTTTTTCGTAATTAAAAGTATGTAAGTAAGAATTTAACAGTATATGTAGATTTAGTTGTTATATGCGTAGAGTATGCAGTGCTAATATTTGCATATATGGTGTGCACGCCACTTGTTAATAGTTATCTGCATTCTTACACAATAAAAGTAAATAAATCAAAGTAAGTCTAAAAGATATTCCTAATATCAGTATAGTCCGTTAGACTTAGGCCTCGGCCTCGAATTTTGCAGGCAGCGGAGCGGCGGCGGGAGCGGCAGGATCTTACGCGTATAATCAAATGGACCGACCCTCGAATACAGCGGTGCCCGCTGCCCGCTAATTTGGAGAACAGTATGCGTTTCCGTGCCGCCGCCGCCGCCGCTCCGCTGCCCGCAAAATTCGAGGCCGAGGCCTTAAGCTGAGCTTTGCATTTGTGTGAGTGAAAGTAAACGTAGAGTTAGACAAAAAACTTTTAGAATTAAATTTTATTATATTTTAAAATAGATACATAACATAAGGGCTACAAAATAAGCAAAACTTATAAAAAACTAGATTGAAATATTATGAATATTATGGAAAAAAAATTATTGGTTAATAAACATTTTGAAAAAACTACAAATTCTTCGTCATTTGACATTGCGTTTTCAATATTTGATTTTGCTATCAATACAAAAGGTGAAGTGAGGAAGGTGCGGGGCGAAGTAAAAGCAGAATAAACCGGTTAAAAACTAGAAAAGAACGTGGTATTTAAAAATTTGACATCACACCTACACTATCACACAAATGCAAAGCTCAGCTTAAATCAAACGCACTATATTCATTTCTTATTAGTTAGTCAAGATACTGTCTTATATTTTAGGTAAGAGTATAAATATGTATATTGTTTTAATATTTTTGAGCGAAAAATATGGAAAGCAATTAATTGTATCTGAAAAATATCTGAAGGAATATTGAATGCGTCGACCAAATTAAATTTTTCACTGAGTTGCCTAATATTTAAAAAAATACTGATTTAAAAATTAAATATATTTATTTTAGTAAATAATCAGTGCAATAAAATAATATTTGATAAAATTAAAATTATTAATATTTTACTTTTGCATAACATGCATCGTTAGTCGTAACATATAGAAAAATATAAAGTAAACTATGATCGAAAATAAATATGAATTCAAAAGGCTATCGTATAAATCATGTGAAAGTTATTCCAATCATCGATTTTTTTTGTTTTGATTAAAAACAAGCGCAACGTAAATAAATGATTCGCATGAAATATAAAATAAATACAAGAACATGTGCGTTTCATTCAATATATTTAGTACGGCGAAGGTCAAATCTCCTTTAATAATGATAGTGTTCTCAAGTCAAAAGAATAAATCAAATGACCGAGGAATTGCTTTAAGAATTCATTACGAGAAGAGTTCTTCAGATAAATGTTTAATTTGTAACTTATGAGACACTTTATAATTGATATTATTCGATTATACTTTATACCAAACTACCAAGTATACGGATATTCTATTCGCTCTAATTAATGTTATGGATAAGAATTATAAAACCTTAATAAGTTAAAATAAATCAATAGTGAATAAGTTGAGCATTAAATTTTTACTACATTACTCAGAGGCATTTATCTATTTCTGAACCGGACACAATAAAACGACTGTGTTGCCAGAATATATTTTAATCGCACATTATTTAAAATAAAACATCCAATAACAATATATATAAACCAAACTAAAAATACCACACGATTCATTTAGATGTACTCGATCGAAATAAATAATAAATATATTATTAACCTACATTTTATTTTTGTAGATAAGAAATTTCTTTGGTATATTTAAAAATATAAGTGTGCCATTTAAACTATATATTTCTTGTACGGTATATATATTGAAATTTATTACATTATAAAATCTATATATGTATTTGTAACTCGTTTAAAAATGTTTTAACAATTTCGTTAAAACATACTTCTATTAAAAATACTAACTTACAATTCAATTGTCTATCAATCGCACATTTTCTTGCGGTCAACATGACGTTTTTTATATAAAAATATCTATAAAATACTATTGCCATCACAGCAAAAAAATCAGACTAAGTTTAAGAATTATATGTCATTTCTTTCCGAGTAAATCGTTGAGCAGATCCTGATTGGTCATATTTCCGTCACCGAGGAGGTCATTGGCTGAATTTATTCTGGAGCCGCGTCTACTGGATAGCCTCTTTTTAGCGACGGGAGCTTCATTCAACACTTGGTCAGTCAGCATTTTGAAGTTATTGTTTAACTCTGCGAACGCTTCGTTGGGTATGTCTCCACTTCCATTCACGTATTCGTTTAGTTTATCCACAGCTTGTAACTGCTCTACCAATTTATCGCCAGCAAACTTCGACTGACTGAACTGTTTCATATGGACGTCGATCACTTTGCTGCTTTTCTCTATATCTTGGATAATATCGTTGCAGTACTTGTCGATGTGTTTCCCCGATAATTTCCTCTCTGTGCTGTTTTTATTTTGAACTTTATTTATATCGTCACCAGTGCTATAATTGACTGTGTCTGAACTTTCGTAAAAAGACACCGTTGAATTCCTCCTCCCTCTTGACTTAGGTCGTTCTACGACTTCTATTATTTCTTCCTCGATGGATTCTTCTGTAGATTGCCGTCTAATGGCGCTGGACTTCCGTGATATAGGTTCATCGTTATTTTTTATTTTATTCATAAGATCTTGCTTCATCGCTTCCATCTTCTTTTGTATCTCTTCTGGTGTCGATTCTTTGAAGGTATCGTCAACGATCGCTAAGTCCGCCATTCCTTCTTGCACAGTTTTCGCCAACTCAATCATTTCACCGGAACCTTTGGATCCTCGTCTGTTTTGGTTGGGAGTTGTTCTGTTACTGGTCGAGGTGCGACTTGAGATGTATCTCGATCGTGTTTCAGTCGACGAGCTCGTGTCTTCTTCGTGTGACATCGAACTACTGAGGTTTCGTGAATTCTCACAGAGTTTTGCTAAAAGATTTTGATCCATATGCACTACCTGGTAGAGGATGAAAATAGAGCATGTATCGGAATGAGATTCAGTTTCAAAGTAGCAATTCTTAACGAAGTTACTGATTGTATGGTACAAAATTAATATGATTTTTGGCTTCTCAATCAACAACAAGTTATAAATTATATATTAACGACCATTTATATTAAAATCGTTATAAATTAACATAAAACCAATGTATTAAAACTTACACTGTCACGTTCGTCATTCATTTTTCCTGTTTCTCGTATGTTTTTGCTGACCGATCGTATGTTAGTCACTGACGCTACTTTTGTTGGCGACTTACCCCCTCTACTGGCGACTGTGCTAAGCATTTTCTCTTTCATCTAGAAACAATTTTGTTTATTAATTATTAATCATTTGAGATTTACTGCTTAATTTAATGCTCACCTCTATAATGGTAGATAGTTTATCAGCATTGCTTATAGCCAGATCTAGATCGTGCCTGGTGTCTTTGTGTTTGTTCATCTCGTTCTGTAGTTGGTGTTTGAAGTTCTTCGCCTCGAGCGCTATCCGTCTTTGTAGCATGTTTATAGTTTCAGTTTGTTGTTGAACCTTCGCGTTCAGTTCCGATACTTGAGATTGTAACTTCTCACGTTCTAACAGATTCCTGATAACGATTTATAATAATTATTTTCAGAATCAGAATTCTTAAACCAGTGAAATAACAGATACAAAATAATATTTAAAGATATCAAATATTCATATTTTAATACTCTTAGGTGACAAAAAAAAAATGCAAAAAAAAATTGATTATCATATTTTGGTAAAAGAAAACAATTTGGTGGAAGAGGTAACCCTTTTTAAGTTTAAGGCGATATTTTCCCCACCATGATTTTTTTTAAACCGATATTTCGTCCACCGGTCGTTTTTTTTATTCAGGCAAATTTTATGAGTGTCAATAGTGAATAGACAGTTAGAATATATATTTATATATACATATGTTTTTACTTCTATTATATACCCTTAACCATCATCAATTTTGTTTTTCCACTGTCCACTCCTTATGACCGTTAAAGAGTTAACATTTGCTTATATTTTTTTATAAACAATAACCACTGATTTAACAGTCCTATCTATAAGCACTATTAGACAAGACCTCATAATCATGTACTTTACCTATCCTTGCTAAGTTCCACTAGATGCAGGTGTTCGTCCCTCAACTGCTGCAGCTGCATCTCTCTCTCTTTCAACTTCTGTGTTATTTCTTTGTACTGTGCCTTCAGTTGCTTGTACTTGCTCTGCTGGATGCGCATCTCTTCGTTGTGAGAGTTCAACACCTGGGGCAGTTCTGCGTTTGAGTTCTCGTATCTAATAATGATGAGAATATATTTAATAGTTTTTACTACGTTTTATATGGCACTTGGTTTTAATCTTAACTATAACTTAAATACTTACTTTCCAATTTTTGGTCTCCATTGCATTGTGTTGCAACAAATAAAGTAAATTTTGCCCGTGATCTTTTTTACATACATATATACAAGGTTTTTTGGGACTTGCAAAACGGTCAAGTGATAACAATATTAACTATATAATGAAATCTAAGAATTTAGAGAGCATTCATTTATATGAAATTAATATTATTCGGATTACTACGCATATTTTATTATTTTAAAAAACTACATGCTCCCGACGTTTCGGTTACTTTTTAGGGGTAAACGACATCGTCTTTTAAAATAATAAAATACGCGTTGTAATTCGAAAAATATTAGTTTCATTTAAATAATATTTAATATTATTTTTCATCATATTCACAAACTTTCTCACGCTTTATTTTAAATAATAATTCGCTTTCTACGGATTCTATAATCTCTCAATTTTCTGTTTGACAGTCTAGACTCGTCCACGAAAAATCTAAGTAAGTAACTTTTAAGATTATTACATTGAAAACCCTGTAATATATAAAAATTCATACCTCTGCAGAGCTATTTCTTGTTTCTTTTGTAAAGCCCGGAGTACTTTGTTCTCGTTACTAAGCTCCTAAAATAAATGATAAATATCAATTTATTGCATATTAAACATTGTTACAATTTAGTAGGCATTGTAATTACTGAATTAAACTGGAAGCTCGGAATAAAAAAGAGCATTTTTTTCTTTATTATGATTGTGATCAATATTTATTTTCATAAAATAAAACTGCAAAATAAGGCAATTCGATGGTCCTGAACACCCATGAGAACGTGATGGCATTCTAATTTCTAAATCGAGGCATAAACATATCATATTGTTAACTTTCAATATGACTATCTACGTTTTTACCACGTCTAGTATTCTTTGAGTGTAAATATTATATACAACAATCTAACATAAAATAAAACGAGTCATGGACCAAGGATGTAAGGCAAACAGCTCTAATCTGACTAGAATCGAAATAATGATGTCGGGAGAGTTTATGGCAACACCTAAAGATTTTTGTTCAGCAGAATTAAGACATTAAATATTCCATGTCATTATACAATATAATAAAAATATTTTAATTATAATATAATTCCCTAAAATACACTTTTGACAATGTATTTGTTTTCAGGTATTTTTTTTATATTATAGAGAGCAAACGAGCAAGCTAGCCATCTGATGGTAAGTGGTCATCGCCACTCAAAAACACTCGTAGAGCTTGAAAGCTCTTGAGTGCGTTGCCGCCTTTCAGAAAAAGGCACGCTCTCTGCTTGATGCATCCTAAGTCATATTCGGAAATATGTCGCGAGACAACTGAATATCGCCAACTTGCAGCAAGTCATTGACATGCAGAAAAAACAGAGTGGGAGAAAAACCCAGAATTGTGGGACACCAGCATTCACGAGCATTAAATCAGCGCACAAATAATTAAACATACCTTATTTTAGGATAATATAATATTAAAATATTCAAGATATAACTCATGATTATGGCGAAATATTCAGGTATTTGTCCACACGATTTGTCATACAATCAACGCCCACAGAGAAAAGCAATCAATTATTTCACGTAAGTGATCTCGGTCACAAAATTAATAGACTTCGTGCTGTCCTAGAAGATTTCTGGTCCATTTGTTTTCTTACACCTACTAACACATCCTTATATTTGTCAGAGAGCTTTTGTTTATTTTTAATTACTGTACTGTTTACTAATAATACGGATTCAAAACGATTTTTTTTTATATTATTTCAAAAAATTTGGTAAGTACCTATATTAGAATTGTCATAAATAAAAATAAAATTTGATTTGATTAATTAAATTACCTTAGGACTTAATATTTAGATTGGAAACCTATATGAAGACTGAAAAATAAATTAGATTTTTAGTAATAATAGGCAACTTTTTTATCAAATTTTTAACAGTGATTACTTCAGTTCTTCAATAGCGTCTAAACTTTTCCTTTCGAATGTCTTTACATTTATGAAATTGTGAACATAAAGAAATATTATTATAATGAGATTTGTAAATAAACTGACCTGTAAATGATAGTGTGCATCCGCCAGTTGATTTTGTAGTTGTTTGACACGATGCGTTTTAGCCGAGAGCACTCTCTGTGTCACATATTTATCACCCTTAGACGATGTTGACATGTCCGGCGTATAGCGCTTCCGTTTGTTTAACAAATTCAGCCTGGAGTTACTGCTGTATACACTCTCTAAAGATGATCTGTACAGTCACGTTACAAACACATCTTACTGATACTATGTCATCAAAAGATAACAAAACTGCTAGCTTTTATATAAATTAAATACCAAACGCACGTTCATTCTTCTTCTTTCCAAAAAAATAAAAATAAACACAAAAGTAAAATTAAATTTCTGTAAGAACAAGGTCAATCAATCAACAAGCCCACTCTTTGAAATTTGACGTAACATCTAATTCACAATATACATATACTTCGCTTACGATATTTTATAAACTAAATAACCTTTGATCTTTTCGTTTCTCTTCTGGCACGAGACTGAGAACTGACATCCTTTGTAAATTGCTAAATTAACTCCATATTATAAAATTAACTGAAAAATAAACTCAAAACCTCTGACAAATGGTTGTTGTAATATCGTTGCCATGACAACCGTCATCGATTGGTAAACGATTGACAAGTACCTATTATTATGTAATACCGGCCACTTGTGACTTCTCATTGTTTTATAAAGCGTTAATATAAAAGTATGATTTTAAACCTCAAACGGTAACAGTATTCGAATATCATTAAAACCTTTTTGCTAATGTATTTTAATATTCGAGCTCATGTGAACTAAATATGTTGTTTTGGGTTTCTCGATCGAAACTGTTGGGAGTTAGTTCGAGATGAAGAAAATCCAGCTATTTACGTTCAAGAGTGATTGTCCCAAAACTTTGGTGCCGTCTTTTTATTCCTTCGCTGCTTCAATTGTAATACATCTTGAGCTGAATTATAAATGAGAGATAAGGTTCCAAAACGTTTTCAATATAATCTTTTATTATTCTTATTTCTGAGTCAATAAATTACTTGGAGCTTTGAGTTTTAATATCTAACAACTATGGATATGTGTGTTACTATAAAATCGTATCCAGATTGTTTTCAAACCTGATTCCTGAAATATGTTCAAGAATGACATTTACTTTTGTGTCATCAAAGCTATCGATATTGGACCCTCATAAGAGTTGGTAAATGGGAAATGAGACGAAACGAATCCTCTTCGCATTCCATGAATTTGCCGTGCGGTTGCAGTGGCCAGGAGCTTTAACAGTAACTAAGACTCGCGACCGAGTAGTAGGTTTAAGGGACCCCTATCTAACGCGCGTTAAACGTTCACCTCCATCGTTCAAGTTCCTCTCTCTACCTAACCAAATTTGAAACGAACCTACTAGAGCTGCCTTCGACTCACGGTCCAAGAATAAACTGAAGTTATTTTTTGACAGGCCCAAGTCTTTTAGTAGGTTGCAGAGATTTGGTTGTTATACCTCTAGCTCCTACGTCTATAGAGCACAAATTTACAACGATAAACGAACCTTCTTAGTGAGTTCGTAATATTTGTTGACCTTTACAGTATGGTCTTTGTGGATGTTGGTTTCCCAAGGAACCGTGAGATCTATTAGCACGACGTGCTTTATACTTCGCAAATATAAAAAATGTCTGGTCTGAAGGCTGATGACCAAATATCCTCTGGGGTTTTATATTGTTTTTCATACGTAGCCATCATTGTACTCCAATACAAAGCAACATTAATGATAATGCAGCTACAATGACGAGATCGCAGATTCGAATTCTACTTATATGAAGAAGTTAATTCCATGTTTTCTATTCTAAATTATTGCAAGATTTCCAAAATATTAAGAACATAATAATAAAGGCTTCAACATTTCATTATTATTAAGAGTAGGTAGGGATAAAATGAAACACGTATAAAACAAAATAATATTCTTAATTAACAGTAGGTATATGTACAGTTCACATACAAATATGTACACGACTTCAACGACTTTATATAATTTATAGGATAAATAAAAATTATATATTTTTTACGACACTTGAAATTAAGACGAGGTAATAAAATATACTCTGTGTTGTATGTACACAGATTATGTTATGCGATTTCACCCATTCGACCTAAATTAAATTATAAATCATATAATTGTTTAGTCATAGAAGGAATAAAACGCTTAGAAAGTATTGACTATCATAAATTTGGTTCAAAACGAGGTTTTTATCAATAAACTCGTAAACTAAATAGATAATGTCTGACACAACGTCTGAGGAGTAAGAAAACCTTTGTAGAGATATATTTTGCAAAATCGTGTTTAGGGAATATTTCTACACCATTTTGTTCAAAACACTAAGCTTGTATGATTCTTGTCCAGACTATAAACTATAAAACGAGTTTAAGAATAAAATTTAAAATGTTCACAAACAATTATCTATGTATAATATATTTTTGTCTAACAATATAAATAATATATCTGATCACATCAGATGATCACGCAAGTGTGAAACGGATATAAATTTTAATGTAAACATTTCCAATATAACAATAAATATGTCATTGAATAAGCCAACGTGGACGAACATTGGTTCCAACATTGGTCGTTCTAAATCCTAGGTACTGCTTCTCTATTCTGTTTCTCCCACAGTCTGTAGTACAAGGAGTTTCTATTCTGTATGAGCTGGTTGTGGTTCCCTCTCTCGGAAACGCTTCCCTTCTCCAATACAAGTATTTCATCAGCGTCGGCCACTGTTGATAAACGATGTGCGATACATATTGATGTACGGCCGACCGTCGCTGCTTTGAGAGCTTGAAGTATCGCCTGGAAATAATGATAGTTTACCCTTCAGAACAAACAAACATTTGTATATTCTATACTGTAAACGTCGTGCAAAAGCAAAACTTAAGTTATTGAATAACTTTACAACTAAAAAGAAACTACTATGCAATAAAAAATATTTGGACGTCTTTATCAAAATTGTGATTAAGTGATTATTAAAGCTCTATAATGACGTCCCAGATTTTAAATTTTAAGAAATATTATGATATTTGAAGCTACATTAAAAAAAAACATGTTATCGAAGTGAAACTTCCCTTCTCAACCCTGTGATTAAGACTGACCAAGATAGAATGCGTGGCGCTCGAACGAACAAATAAGTGTGACTTGTAATTAGTAATATTAATAAAGTCTTAGAGATACACTAAAATTTCCTTAAAAGTCAATTTCTACCCCTTCCTCTTTTCATTCAAACATCCCGAAGTTTCACTTCACGCATACGAACTCCACGCACAATTATTTATTTATTTTTGCCTAGATATAGTTAAATATATATATAATGTATGTGATCTAACGTGTTCAGTGAGTGAATCGAGGCTCGAGGTGGCTTCGTCGAACACTATGATAGGGCTGTCCTTGAGGATTGCTCGAGCTATCGCCACTCGCTGTTTCTCCCCACCAGACAGCTTCAAACCACGCTCGCCCACTTGAGTGTCGTAACCCTGAAATATATTAAATAATATCATGAAATATATTAAATAATATAATAATAATTCCTTAGTAATAATATGTATATTAGAAAAAAATATATAGGGAAATTCAATACGAAAAACATAGTGGACATGATGAATATATCAACTTTAACCGATTTCAACAACAGGGAAAATTCTTGACAAGTATACAAGTATATACATAATACTTTTGCCTTCGACTTATTCTCCGTTAATTTCAGTATTAGAAATGTATAGTTGACCATGCAAACTCTGTTCCTCCGTAAAGGCAGCAATAAATAAGATTTTGGATTTTACCAATCTAATTTTTTCTTTTTCTATTGGATGAAAATTATCCTTTTCCTTAATCTAATCTATCTCTCTACGAATTATCAGCCAAACCCGTACAAGTTCTCAATTTATAAATATTATAACTAACACAACACTCTTATATATAAAGATATATACATACACATTAATGTACATGTGTTATGAATTAAATATTTGGATCTAATTTTGATTGTGCCATACTGATACTCTTGTTATATGACTTATCCGACACTGGCTGATTATTCCTCACTATTCTATCACATTCTGAGTCAGTTACTAGTTAGTATCACTTATATACCTTGGGCCACGTTTGTACAGAATCGTGTAGCTCAGCTAGTTGGCTGGCCTTGTACACGTCTTCGACACTCTTATTGAGATCTCCGTAATGAAGGTTATGGAGGATAGTGTCGTGGAACAGAACACAGTCCTGAAACATACATATGATATATGATTATATGTGAGGCAATTAAAATGGATTAATATATAAAAATAATACAACTAGCGCCATCTAGTAGTAAATATGTAACACATGTGGTAGTTTAGTTTTGTCTATAAATAAATTTCGTTTTGGCGTTACAAGCAAGCACGTTGTTTTATTAATATACTAGTTTTTGCCCGCGACTTCGTCCGCGTTAGTTTGCTCAAGAGTAATATATGTAGGTATAGCTGACCAGGCGAACTCTATTCCGTCTTAGAGGCCATAAATAATCAGGTTTTTCCTTTTTCAATCAAACAGAATGATTGACATATTAGTTAGTTGTCAAATCTAATGTCAAAAAAAACAATTGTATGGGAAATAGAAAAAGGCTGTTTTTAGGGTTTTCCCGGCAATTATTCCAATTTTTCTCACCTTTTAAACCTTTCCTGGACTTCCAGGAGTATTTCAAAACTAAAATTAGCCAAATCGGTTCAGCCGTTCTCGAGTTTTAGCGAGACTAAGGAACAGCAATCCATTTTTATATATATAGAAGATGTAAAACATGTTTTAATTGATATATGATGAGTTAGTCCTCAATGGAAATTGTATTTGATATGAATGAAAATAAATAATTTGGTAATAATTGTATACATTTAATATATCTGTATGTAACATCTCTGCATATCTTAATAACGTCTCTCCATGGCTTATTCAAGGCGGTAGGCCTCGTTTAATATGATGAATTAGTTACTATAACTTTTCTAACACAACATCATGATTTGAGACAGTATTATTTTTTTTTCAATCAAGTAATCTCTTACTGTGTAGTTGAATAATAGTTTTGACTGATTTTAATAAAAAGAAACAAAAAATAACTTCACTCCACTCATATTTTACCTACATCAAATTTCATCAACATCATCCATATTTTTCCTATGTCATTCAAATTTTCATCTTTGCTGTTTCTCACTCAATAAGTTACCTTAATTCAATAATGTTAAATTTTAAGTGATGATACCAACTCATATTAAAATTAACATACCTGCGGTACAATAGCGATGGCTTTCCTCAAGCTCGCTAGGTCCAAATCCTTAATATTTTGTCCGGCGACCAAAATCTGCCCAGACTGAGGCTCGAAGAAACGAAACAGGAGACGAACCATCGTAGACTTACTGGAACATATATAGAAAACAATCACACACTATACATTGCTACTACTATAATAAATGTGAAAGTAACTCTGTCTGTCTGTCTGTTACGCTTTCACGCCTAAACCACTGAACTGATTTTAATGAAATTTGGTATAGACATAGAGTTGACCTTGAGAAAGAACATTGTATAGTTTTTATCCCAGACTTTTGAAAGGTTCTCTTGGAAACGCGATATAACCGAACTCTACGCGGGCGAAGCTGCGGGCGGAAAACTAGTATATTATACAGGGTGACTGGTGAATTCCTCTCAATATTTAAGGAGAATACTCGGTACATGATTCTCATTCGAATTATGTAAAAAAAATAGGTACTTAATTTTTGACCAAATTTCCGTATAAATAAATAAAGTGTGGACACGTTCCAAGTGTTCCAAGTGTGGACGCGTGCGGCGGCGTGCTGATACAACACCACGCCGCCGCACGCGTGTGTGTGTGTGTGTGTATACCTAATCTGTAGGGTGTTCACACAATGCGTAATTAATTACATAAATTTTGGTTAACTTTACTTAGAAGTTTAGTAATATTTATGTTATATTAATTTTTATTTTGTCATATATGATCGTCAAATATCACGTCCTCAAGTATCGATAGTAATTCACAGGTCACCCTGTATAATAAGAAAAAAAATTACTTTTATGTGGTGAATCAATGATTGGGTATTTTTAATATTAATGTGAGAAATATAATTAAGTTATATAAATAAAAATTATCCCCTTTCAAGTAATATGTACATATGTATGTATGTGTATACAGATATTGAAATAGTCCAAGATCTCATTATAAAGAAATCTCTATGATAATATTACTTTAGGATGAAACTAAGATTTATGACATCAATTAACATGTATGTATGAGATTATATTGATATTTTTTATTGTTATTGTTTGGTATTAGTTATACTTGGCCAATCAAATTGTTGTTGTCAAATAATAATATGATGTCAAGTATAATGTAGATAGACAAATCATTTTAATATATTATGTTCTGTCATTCCGTCATATTGTTTAGCACATATACATATTACGAGTTAAATATAATTTTATTCGATAGTACCATTATATACATATATATACTAGAAGACCTGGCAAACCTCGTATCGCCTTATAATCAAGAAATATCTGTTACTTTTTTCTATATTTTTGGAATTTACTCATTAAAGCCCTAAATCTCCGTGTTTTGAAGTGCGACAGAATGATTGACATATTAGTTAGTTGTCAAATCTAATGTCAAAAAAAACCATTGTGTCAACAACTACTAAAAAATTAAAAATAAATTAAAAAAACATTGTCCAGCGGACAAAATTGTGAATCTAAACCCTTCCCAGATCCCCTTGAACACACACAAAAAATTTCGTCAAAATCGGTCCGGTCGTTTGAGAGAAGTTCAGTGACATACACACTCACTGAAGAATTATATATATAAAGATATCTCTCACCCACTACCCGAGCCGCCAACGATGCCGATCTTCTTGCCGGCCGGTATGGTGAAGGACAGATTGTTCAGTATGGGCTTGCCGTTCACATACTTGAAGCTCACATCTTTAAACTCTATGGTCGCTGTTTTATTGTCGATGATCAGTTTCGGTGCTTGGCTCTTTTCCTACAAATAATTGAAATGGTATTTCTATTAATTAATTTTACTAACAGGACTTTCATGCAATGGAATAAATTTTTAATTTTGGTAAGTGATATGTATGAAAGTTATAGATTCGCATCCTGTTCGTGTCAATTAATTTTTCATTACATATTTATTTCTTTATAATCTTAGTAATCTTAATATGGCTTTAACGTTAAAACATACTAACACAGATTCTAAGAAACAAAAACTTCAGAAATAATCAATTTACGAATCCTGTGTGTAATTTAAGACAATTTTTTTTAATGACGGACCAGTGTTTAACCGATGCATCTAATGACAGATAGTAAAAAAAAAACAAATAATAAAGTCATTATTATCTCACCTTGACCTTTGACTGCACGGTCATGAGTGTGAACATTGTCTGCATGTCGACGAGCGCCTGACGCACCTCGCGGTACACAGAACCTAAGAACCCGAGAGGCACGGACAGCTGGAACACGAGCCCGTTCACCATCACTAGGTCACCGACAGACATGTTACCTGTAATGATATGAATAAAGTGAGATTGATGAGTTACGATGAGACATGATGACACGGACAGAACACAGTACCATGCTTTTTATCACTTATACCTTACACCTTTAATAATGTTATATTTATATGTAAATGACTTTGGGGCCCCATAACGTCCAAATAACTCTGTAATTCAGTTTAGAGAAATAGTTTTAATTGTCATCTAGCGCCATCTAGTTGATTCATAGCACAACTTATATGTATGTTATCTGCATTAGTATTTAGTTCATGAAAATATCCAAGGTGTCGTAATATGAATAATATTACTATAATGACATAGTTTTTTTTTTTGTGATAGAGAGGACGCTACAGTGCTAAGGTTACTTCGGCTCCGTAATTATAGTTATTAAAAAAATAAAAATAAGTGCATTTACTTAGTGGAAAAAGCAATAGTGAAAAATAAACAAGTGACTTTCAACAAACATTGTGGACAATATCTAACATTCAGTGAAACCTTTAAAAATCAGTGTAAACGTCTCGACAACGGATTAGCTGCATTACGTTTTTTATACAGACACACACTGTTAACTCGTAGACATTTCTTGCATTGGAAGCGAGAGACCAGTTTACAACTCAACAAAATAGTGCTTTCACGATTCCGGAAATTGTATTTAAAAAAACAAATAGACTTAAATAACCCTATTTTTTCAATATCGTGACTTGCAATATTGAGTGAGAACAACACAAAAACATTAGCTACATCTGTGAAAAACTATCCGTACTACTAACACAAGTCCGAACCATCTTCGATCTACGATTGACTCGACTAAGAGTGAGCCGCTACTGCAGCAAATCAAACCAAAACACAAGAGGGCGCTAGTAGTTCTAACAAAACAATCAACTCAGTATAATTACATACTCCTTTTAATAAATAATAATTATCTGAAAATATTAAAAACAAAAATGGATGAAACTATGTAAGAGATTATATTCGAAAAATTCGCAAAGATATAGACGAACAGAAAACCGCAATAGAAAAAAGTGGAGAAAAATTAATAGAAAAAGTAACGCAGAATATAAACTGTATATTGGAAGATAAGTTTAAACTATTCAATGAAAGATACCAGGATTTAAGAGAAAAATGTGAAAACCAAGAAAAGCGGCTCCACTTCTTAGAAAAACAGGCAAGAAAAAACAACATTGTTTTCTTCGGAATAAAAGAAACACAAACATATTCTCGCCTAGAAAGCCTAATAATGAACTTTATCAAAGAATATTTCTCTCAAGAAATAGACCGCAGAGATATTCAAGAAGCTAGGAGAATAGGCAAGAAAGGGGAAAGACCTCGACCAATAACTGTCACTTTTTGTATACTGGGCACAAAAATCAATCTGTTCAAAAACAGAAATGCACTAAACAATACCGGTTACTACATAACGAAAGATTTCCCACAAAATATCCTACAGAAGAGGAAGGAGCTTCACGAACAGGCAAAAATCGAAAGGGAAAAAGGAAATCTTGTAAAAATAAAATACGACAAGCTTATCATAAGTGAAAGAAACAAAATAGCTGGAAATAACAAAAGAATGCTTTCAACTTCGCCTGAAAACACAACCACGAAATGATCCACAACAAACACATAGGTTCACAAGAAAAATAAATCACAAACACAATTAAGAAGATTCAAGCTTATTAGAAAGCATTATCAGACCAGGCATGCTGAATTACCTGATTGACAAAACCACAAACAACTCAGCAGATCTGCATCAAAAAAAAAATAACTCTAATATATAGCAATTACAGCCTCCCTCTCGAAACCCCAAGATACAACAACCACTATCAGAACACCAAATTCATCTTGCAATCCGGCTGGTCACCGTGGAAGATAAAGATATCTCAAAGATATCTCAAACTCCTTCAATAATAATAAAAGAGAAACAAACCCAAGAAATACTTAACTCAACTAAAAGAAAGAAAGATAAGCTTTACATAGTAACGTACAACGTCAGAACTCTATCTACTTACGAACGCTTAATCGAACTTAGCGAAGCACTCATTAGAGTCAAATACGACATAATTGGATTGTGTGAAATAAGAAGAATGGGTACCCGGATAGAGGAATATAATAATTTCATACTATGCCACACGGGACACACACCTGGAAAATATGGAGTCGGTTTCATAATAAACCAAACCCGCAAGAATTGGATTGAAAGCTTCATAGGCATAAACGACAGAGTAGCATAATTAAACTTAAACGTACAAGGATTACCCATGTCTATTATACAAATATACGCACCGACGGAAACAACATCTGAAGAAGAGATTAACACCTTCTACTCAAATGTCAATAGAGCCATAGACGAAGACTACAAGAATTATATAATAATGGGTGATTTTAACGCAAAAATAGGAAAAGCAAGGAAAGATGAACATTTAATAATGAAACCAAACGGCTATGGTGAAAGAAACCAGAGTGGCCAGAGGCTCATCGATTTTGCTCTCGAACACAAACTTGTCATCTTAAATACTTTCTTTCATAAAAGACCAAACCAAAGATGGAATTGGCGATCACCGAATGGTAAATTTAAAAATGAAATAGGTAGATTACGTACAAGTTAGTCACGTTAGTTACGTCCGTTACAAGGTTTACAAAAATGTGAAAAGAAGGCATCATTACAGACTTTCTATAACACATTAATCCAGGCAATAACCCAGAGCCTACAGGACGCTCGAACTCCAAACGAAATATCAAATGGCAACCATAAAGTTCTAAAAGAGCGTACCCTGAAACTCATCAAGAGAAAAAAAGAGTTACAACATGATAGAACAAAAACTCGAGCCACAAAAAATGAACTATCAGCGCTATACAAACTAATAAGTAAATACATTAAACATGACTACAAAAGCTACAGAGCGAAAACTATCAAAAAAGACTTAGAGAAAGCAGGAAGCTCAAAAAAGGCCCTCATAGAACTAAGAACAAATAAGATGGCTTAGATTGGATAGATGGCTTAAACTGTAAAGACAAAACCATAAATAATCGCAAAGAAATCATTGATGTAGCAACCAATTTTTTAAGACTTTATACAAAGCCCAAGGAAACGAGTGTTCCAGCATTAGAAACATAAATTCAAATTATATTTAATCTACAAACAACGTCGGAAACATTACACCAATAACTGAACGTCACGCAAGAAATAAAAAAGTTAAAGCTAGATAAAAGCCCAGGTCCAGACGGCATTACAAATGAAGCGATAAAGGCTGCCTGCTCGCTACTGACCTCCCCGTTAACACACTTATTTAATCTTGTATTAAAAACTGCTGAAATACCATCGCAGTGGGTAGAATCGGAAATAATTTTAATTTACAAAAAAGGTGACGCAAAAGATATCACAAACTATAGGCCTATAAGCTTACTCTCATGTATCTACAAACTGTTCTGCTCCATAATTAACAAAAGAATAAGTGTCACAATAGAAGCAAACCAACCAATAGAACAAGCAGGCTTCCGCAAACGCTTTTCAACGATCGATCATATACATACTCTAGAACAAATAATGGAAAAATACCAAGAGAAGCAAAGAGGGCTCTACATCGCATTTATAGATAACAAAAAAGCCTTCGATACCGTGTCACATTCAAGTATATGGAGCGCCCTACAAACCCAAAAAGTTGAACAAGAGTATATAGATATAATCAAAAACATTTACAAAAGAAGTACAGCAAAAATAAAACTAGAATCCACAGGTCCCTCCTTCTCCATCGGAAGGGGTTTGAAACAAGGTGACCCGCTGTCTCCAAAACTATTTATATCTATCCTAGAGTCAATAATAAAAAAGTTAAATTTGGACAAGACAGGACTAAACATTAATAGCAATTATTTATCCCACCTACGTTTCGCAGATGACTTAATTCTGCTATCAGAATCTAGCACACAATTACAAAACATGTTTGATTCACTAAACACGGCTAGTAAGCAGGTAGGACTAGAAATGAATCTTTCAAAGACAATGGTCATGACAAATAGTATACCGAGAAGAATATCAGTGGACAATGAAATTCTAGAATATACAGAGAAATACATTTACCTTGGAAAACAAATTGGCTTCAACAAAAAATAAAATGAACAAGAAATAGAACGAAGAGTTCAAAATACTTGGAACAAGTGCTGGTCCTTAAAAGATATATTCAAAAGTAACATGCCAATAAATATCAAAACAAAAGTCATCACGTCATGCCTCCTATCCTGTCTAACCTACGCATGTCAAACTTGGAAATATACATACAAACTAAAAAACAAAATCATTACTTGCCAACGCGGAATAGAACGTAGCATGCTCAATATTAAAAAAAAAATTAAAAAAATCGTCATACAACTATTAGAGAAACAACCAAAGCGACAGATGCTCTAACCTACTTTAATAAACTAAAATGGAAGTGGGCTGGGCACGTAGCAAGGCTAAAGGATGAGAGATGGACCAGCAGGGTAACTACGTGGAAGGGTCCAATCGGCAAACGTCTTAGAGGCAGACCCCTCACGAGATGGACAGACGAACTGATAAAAATTGCTGGCACCAACTGGTCGCAAATAGCCCAACACAGAGACAAATGGAATTCTTTAGAGGAGGTCTTCACTTGAGGAGGGGTTCATGCAAACCACTTTCTTATTTATACTACTATGCATTCTTTTTTATTAAACACTTCTAAAAAAAACGTGATTTAAGTGTAAATAACATAATTTATATTATTTAAACTGTATGTATCTAAATTTTTGCATGAAATAAAAGGTTTTTATCATTATGTATTATAGTTTTTGTACCCTTGGCTATTTCCTGGGCCGCCATAATCATGATTACGGTGAGTCCGGCGCTGAATATCGCGTGTTGGCCGAAGTTGAGTAACGCCAGGCTAGAGGCAGTCTTCAATGACGCTGACTCATACGTGCGTAGAGATGAGTCGTACTTTTCTAGCTCGTACTTTTCATTGTTGAAATACTGGAAATTATATAATAATCCATTAGAATTTACATACATATACAGGTGAATTACTATTGATACTTGAGGACGTGATATTTGACGATCTTATATGACAAAATAAAAATTAATATAACATAAATATTAATAAACTTCTTCTGTGTCCACACATTATTTATTTATACGGAAATTTGGTCAAAAATTAAGTACCTATTTTTTTACATAATTCGAATGAGAATCATGTACCGAGTATTCTCCTTAAATATTGATAGTAATTCACCAGTCACCCTGTATATTATTTTTATTTTAGGTAATATTTTCTGTATTTGATGGAAATAATAATAATAATACTTAGAACAGATGTGTATAGATGATTTCATGCAATATTTATGGTACTTGATAAAATTGGTACAGGAAAATAATGTATAAAAAAAGAAGTAGAGATAATTATCATAATGTAAGTTGACATTTTTTTTTAATATGCTAGTATTATTAATTATTGTTATAATGAATAAGTATATTTCATTTTGGAGATAGGAATTTTTAAAAAAAACATTATTTGGACATTTTGCTTAGATTACAAAACTTAGATTACAAAATTAATTAATTTGGGTAAATTCATATCGTCGTCGTCGTCGTCAGCCTATCAGAGCCCACTGCTGAGCAAAGACCTCTTTCTCACATGGAGAAGGTTTGATCATTAATCACCATGCTTGCTCAAAACGGGTTGGTGATTTCAAACTTATAATTGTGAAACTATAAGTTCAGGTTTCCTCACGATGTTTTCCTTCACCGTGTGTCAGTGGTGTCTAAATAGTCTTAGAAAGTACATATGACTCCGAAAAATCACATTGGTACGTGCCAGGTTTGAATCCGCGCCCTCGGCAACGAGAGGCGGACCCTTTAACTACTAGGCCACCACTGACTGTAAGAATTTAAAATATATTTATTCATATAAGAATTTAAAATAATTAATCATATACTAGAAGACCTGGCAAACTTCGTATCGCCCTATAATCAAGAAATATCTATTACGTTTTTTTATTTATATTTTTGAAGTTTACCTGTAAGCCATAAATTTCCGTGTTTTGAAGTGCGACAGAATGATTGACATATTAGTTAGTTGTCAAATCTAATGTCAAAAAAAACGTTTGTATGGGAAATAGAAAAGGGCTGTTTTTATGGTTTTCCCGGCAATTATTCCAATTTTTCTCACCTTTTATACCTTCCCTGAACCTCCACGAACATTTCAAGACTAAGATAAGATAAATCCGTTCAGCTGTTCTCGAGTTTTAGCGGGACTAAGGAACAGCAATCCATTTTTATATATATAGAAGATAGAAGATAGAAGATAGAAGATTAAAGTAATATTTGAGTTACTGTTTTTTTAATATTTTATCTATAAACAATATATGTATTATTGATTATATTATTATTAACCTTGACAGTTTCATAGTTGATGAGTGAGTCGACCGCCTTATTCCCCGCCTCGTTCTCAGCCTTGTTCATATGAACCCTGAACTTGGTTCTCCATTGTGTGATAGCTAACGTGAAGGCCGCGTACACACCCACACAACTAAACGCCACGCCTTATAAATATATGCCATATAAATAAACAATTTCAATTATCATCCCTACTAATATTATAAATGCGTAAGTAACTCTGTCTGTCTGTCTGTCTGTTACGCTTTCACGCCTAAACCACTGAACTGATTTTAATGAAATTTGGTACAGACAGAGTTGACCTTAAGAAAGAACATAGGATAGTTTTTATCCCAGACTTTTGAAAGGTTCTCTTGGAAACGAGGTATAACCGAACTCCATGCGGGCGGAAAGCTAGTTTACTATAAATACTGTTATTTTAATATTTCTAATTTCTAAACGTTTTTTTTTTTAAATTTATGTAAAGTTATGAAAATATAATCTGTTTTATTGCAAATTAGTTTTCTGTATAAATTATTATGTCTGTAATATTATTATATTAACCTGCGAATGCCAGTCCTCCTTTCAAACCAAGGATCGATGAGACCAAACACAACTCAAATATGGTGGGCACTATGTTGAACACCATGGCTGATAACACAAAGTTTATAGCGCGGGAACCTCTGTCTATGGTCTGAAATAAAAAAGGATACAAACAATAATTATTTTACAATATAAAATGCTTTATCTATTGTAATAATTATAAAATGTTTCTTTTTCCAATTTCTTGTCTATACTCTTTGATTTTTTTTCTTAATAGCAAATGAATTCAGGGGCACGAAATTTTTTAAATAAAAAAAATCTGATATATTATGTATAATAAACATCATAATACAAATGTTATAGAAGCTTCAGTTGATAAATGTTATGACATGAGTATAAAAATAACAAGATTTCCTTAACTAAGAGAGTATTTTTTTTTCTCTTTTCACTCAGCCTATAGCAGTCCACTGCTGGACATAGGCCTCTCCCAACACGCGCCATAACAGTCGGTCCTCTGCCTTCCGCATCCAGTGAGACCCAGCGACCTTTTTAAGGTCATCGGTCCACCTAGCTGGGGGGCGTCCTACTCTACGTTTGCCGAGACGCGGTCTCCACTCAAGGACACGCTTGCTCCACCGTGCGTCGGTCCTTCTGCAGATGTGACCAGCCCACTGCCACTTCAGCTGGCTTATTCTACGAGCTATGTCGGTAACCCTAGTTCTTCGTCGGATTTCTTCGTTTCGAAGTTTGTCCTTCAAAGAAACGCCGAGCATAGCTCGTTCCATAGCCCGCTGAGCGACTTTGAGTTTGTGGACTAGTCCTACAGTGAGTGTCCACGTCTCAGCCCCGTAGGTCATAACCGGTAGGACGCATTGGTCGAAGACTTTGGTCTTCAGGCATTGCGGTAAAGGCGAGGAGAAAACCCGACGTAATTTGCCAAACGCTGCCCAACCTAGCTGAATCCTGCGATCGATTTCCTTCTCGAAGTTGTTTCTACCAAGCTGGATAACTTGTCCAAGGTAGGTATACTCTTGAACAACTTCGAGAACCGATCCGTCGACATAAACCGGTCTCGGCACGACATGTTCGTTGAACATAATCTTGGTTTTATCCAAGTTCATGCCGAGACCAACGCGTCGTGAGGCTCCATCTAGGCTGTGCAGCATTTCGCTCAGCTGTTCCAGTGACTCCGCAACGATGACGATATCGTCGGCAAACCGAAGGTGTGTGGACTGGACTGGACGGGGCATTAACATAAATGGCGAGTACATACAGAATACATGTACTCGCCATTTATGTTAATGCCCCGTCCAGTCCAGTCCAACGTCTTGAAGACGTCCTCGAGCGCGTTGGTAAAGAGCTTGGGGGATATTACATCCCCCTGTCTTACCCCTCGGCGCAACTCGATTGGTTTGGTCTTTAGGTCCTGGAGCTGGACGGTCATGGTAGCGGTTTCATAAAGACATCTCAACACCTCGATATAGCGCCAATCGACGCGGCACCGCTGCAGAGCATCTAGAACTGCCCAGGTTTCGATGGAGTCGAAGGCTTTTTCGTAGTCCACAAAAGCCATACACAGCGGCTGATTGTACTCCTCGGTCTTCTGCACAATCTGCCGAACAGTATGGATGTGGTCTACAGTGCTGTAGCCTTTTCGAAACCCGGCTTGTTCGGGTGGCTGGAACTCGTCGAGTTTTCTGGCGAGGCGGTTTGTGAGTACTCTCGAGAACAACTTGTAGATGTGGCTCAGGAGTGAGATGGGTCTATAATTCTTCAGCAAGGTTTTGTCGCCTTTTTTGAAGAACAGAACCACCGCACTCCCACTCCACGCCCGAGGTGTTAAGCCCTGGTGGATGACGGAATTAAAGAGACTCGCTAGCTCATTCAGAACCGGTGTCCCGCCCGCTTTTAGGAGCTCTGTCGTGATTCCGTCATCCCCTGGGCACTTGTTGTTCATAAGTTGCTCAAGAGCAACTCGAACCTCGCCCTGGTCGACATCAGGGATGTCTTCGGTGTAATGGCGCGTGAGTGGGGCTCTGTGGTCACAATCGCTGGATCTCGTTGGTTTGGTCATCCGTGATGCGTAAAGGCGTTTGTAGAAACTCTCAATTTCCTCTAGAATCTCGAACTTAGAGGTGACGGTTTTGCCATCCGCAGTGTTAAGTTTCGTCAGATGAGTTCTACCAAGCTGGCGAGCGAAAACTTTGGTGCCTCTGTTTTGCTCAATAGCATCCGCAATCATGCGGGTACTGAAGCAACGGAGGTCACGTCGCACCAGCTTCCGGATCTTCCTATTGAGGTTTCTCCCATCCGACGAAGACGATTGCGTTGATGACATTTCTCGTCTCTGCCTCATTAGTTCGAGGGTCTCGAGTGAGAGTTTAGTATGCCCTTTTACGCTTTTTCCGGGAAACACCGTTCGAGATACCTCCTGAAGCGTTTTGACCACTGTGTCGGTCTTCTCGTCAACATTGCTAAGGGTTTCCAGTAGTGCGAAACGATTTCGAAGCTCCAATTGGAACTTTTCGGATCCCATTGCCATTTGAGGCGCAGTAGGTCGGAGTGTAGAACTCATCATGCGACGCCTTTCGGCTTTGAAGTTCATATTCAGAGTGCCTCGGACAAGTCGGTGATCGCTTCCGGTATTAAACCTATTGATCACTGAGACGTCTCTAAATATGTACCTCTTGTCTGTCATAATGAAGTCAATCTCGTTCCTCGTCGCAGTATCGGGGCTTCGCCAGGTCCACTTTCTATGGGGCTTCTTCTTAAAGAATGAGTTCATTAAGAAGAGCCCTTGTGACTCCAGAAAGTTGACCAGCATCTGCCCCCTGTGATTTCGGCACCCTACGCCATGGCATCCGATTTTCGTTTCGCCGCGTTCCTGTACTCCCACTTTAGCATTAAAATCCCCCATAACAACATTGTAGTGAGCCTTGGTTGTACCATGTAATGCCTTAGCTATGTCTTCGTACATGGCTTCGGCAACGTCGTCACAATATGTCGAAGTCGGCGCATATACCTGTACCACCTTCAGGAAATGCCTGTCGGTGATTTTAAGTATGAGGTACGCTACCCTTGTCGACACACTGTTGACCTCCACAATGTTGTTAGTGAGAACTTTATTAACGAGAAAACCCACACCGCCCTGAGAGGCCCGATCACCTTCCCGGAAGTAGAACTGGTGGCCTGACTCAAGGGTTATCGTATCCTCCCCCTTTCTTCGGACTTCAGATAACCCCAATATGTGCCAGTTTATGCGACCTAGTTCTACTTCCAGTTCGGTGAGGTGTTGGTCCAGCCGTAGAGAGCGTCCATTGTACGTAGCCAGGGTCAGTTGGTTTTGGTAGCCTTTTCCCGTAACCCGGAGATTCTTCGCACCCCCTGTCCCGCCGTTACCGCGGCCGCTACCGTGACAACGGACAGCGGGACTACCGGGAACGAGGGGCCTTTTCTTATTAGTATGGTCCATGTTAGGAGGTATAAGCCATACTATACCACGCTGGCTAGACGGGTTGGTATAGGGTTTGTTTCGAATTTTCCTTTTCTGGTATTGGTAGTCTTTACGTTTTCCCTTAGTCGCCTTGTACGACACCCACGGGAGGAGATGGGGTAGCGACAAATGTATTCTAAAGCCGTCGCTACACGGCTAGTTTTCTCTCTTAGTTTTCTCTCTTAGTTAAGGAAATTAAAGTAAAGAACTTAACTGACAATTGACAATAAGACAACATTAAATACTATTTAGAAATTGACTAAAATTAACAACTAGTGAATATTAAACAGTATGTGTACCTTAGACAGAGCCCCGGTCTGCCTCGCGAGGTGGAAGCTCAGGTCGAGGTTGTGGAGGTGAAGGAACACGTTACAGGCCAGCTTACGGATGGAGTGCTGAGCCACCTTCGCGAACACCGCGTTACGGAGTTCATTGAACCCCGCGGCAGACGCGCGGGCTATACCGTCTGCAAACATATATTATATATAAATATAATTGATATAACAAATCTTAGTTTCATCTTAAAGTAATATTATCATAAAGATTTCTTTATGAGAACTTTGACTATTAGGTACAATATCTGTATGTACACATATGTACATGTTACTTGGAAGGGATTTAATTTTAATTTAAATAACTTAATTTTATTTCTCACATTAATATTAAATATACTCAATCATCGATTCACCACATAAAAGTTATTTTTTTTCTTATTATATAATATACTAGCTTTCCGCCCGCAACTTCGCCCGCGTGGAGTTCGGTTATATCGCGTTTCCAAGAGAACCTTTCAAAAGTCTGGAATAAAAACTATCCTATGTTCTTTCTCAAGGTCAACTCTATCGCTGTACCAAATTTCATTAAAATCAGTTCAGTGGTTTAGGTGTGAAAGCGTAACAGAGTGACAGACAGACGGTGTTACTTTCACATTTATAATATTAGTAGGGATTATATCTGAGATTTTAGAGTGCATTCATTTAAATAAAACTAATTTTCTCATATACTACATGTTTGTTATGACTTAAAACTAACGAGATTTAGGTAACTTTTCAGCGTTTCGTCTGCTCGAGATCAAGATTGCGGCAAAGAACCCAAAACCGTAGTAAATCCGAAAATAATAATCTTATTTAAATATATATTACAATATTCTTCTCATATAACAGAGTAAATAAACCACCTTTCTTATATTTATGAGGTGAAGTAGTGTGGAAACAGAGACTTTTATAAAGCATTTAAATTCAAATAGAAAATATAGAACGAAAAATTAATTGACATAAGAAGTATTAATCTACAATCTCTTAAAGCAACTAGAACATATCAACGAATTTTTCATAATAAATATTTATTTTGCTTTTTAATCCTAGCAATTAATTAGTTTTTTAAAAATCAAAACCAAAAACTTTATGGCTAAATAAATCAACATATGGATACACATTCAACTTTATACATGATTGCTAAGAAATAATATTATTTATTGAGATCATTAAATAATTTCTCAAAAACTAATCACATAAAATAACAATGATTCATATTAAAAACTACATTTATCTATGGTTGTCTATTCCTGCACACATTTCTGTGAAAACACCCAAAATAATTTCGCATTGAACCTTAAAACTATTATTCAATTTGCAACTATCATTCAAAATGTATAATATTAAAAAAATATATAATAAAGAATTATGTAAATAAAATCATATTATACATACTCACATCCAACTAACAAACTGAATGCCGTTGTCCCCAATGCCTGAGGTACTGTGGCCATTCCTAATAAAGCATCTCCCGTCGGAGTGGTTGTCAGGTTATTGACCTCATCCACTGCATACTTGAAGAAGAAGGGCACCGTGACATTCATCACCTTAGCACCAAACAGGAGGGATAGGGACAGCATCACACGATTTCTGATCATTGCGTTATCCTGAAATTTGATAATAAATTCTTAGAATTCAATACAAAAAAAAAAATTATGAACTCTACAGATGTATGACAGTTAAATATAACATGATAATGGCTTCATGAAATATAAAAATACTATTTTATTATATTAATATCAATGTTAAAAAAATTACAAAACTATGATAGATTTCTATCTAAAACATCTATAGACAATTTTAAATTACCTCCAAAGTATAATTGGTTGTCTATAGTATCTTTATTTAATCTTACCTTGGGCCACACATATTCCAACATGCCCCTAACCATGTCCATTCCCGTCACCGGCTTTGCATCACCCAGATTGATATCTTCTCGAGATAGAACAGATGCACCTGGATGAAAGCAGTCTCGCTTTTGGATGCCTAAGGATGGGAGAACATATCAAGGGAATGGAATACATTTGGGAGGATAAATACATATATAGGATAGGAATAGAGCGGGGACTGCATCAACCAGGCATTAGACGAAGAATGAATGACAATTATATGTGATACTAAAACATAAGTAATGACTAATGAGTATACATTCTTAATGACAACAATTATATATACATTAACTGTGAACAAGCAAATAAAGATAAGAATTGATTTCAAACAAAGTTTTATAAGCAAATAAATCAACCAAAAATATGTTTCTAAGGGAAAAAATTAGTAACAATGATAGGTTGATTGTTTATTGTTAAAAATACATGAAGACAATACTGTGTAGGACAAACATTTTTTCCAGCGAAAGATATCTAAGATTATCTATCAAAAATTTATTCCTTATACATAAAATTTTTACAAAATTTACATAGCTATGCTTCATGGTAATTGACTACAAGGTCACATTTAAATTACGCAACTTTTACGGTGATAACTTAAAATACCCCAAAATATCAATTAAGTTTTATAAAATTATTTAATTCTTTGTTTATAATATATTTATCGCTGGGCTATAGCTTACCAACAGGGATTTTGCCCGTCTTTGGTTTGTTAGCCAAAACTGCCGCCAAAACATTTTTTGCTGCGTCCGTCCCACCGGCTTGGCTCGGCGGTGATGAAGAATAAAACTAAATAATGAATAAATAATAATTTAAATTAAGGTAAAAAAATTAAGAATATAAATAACACTGTTAATAGGTAAAAAATTGAGTGTACATACCCTGTAGTAACTTGTGACCGCACATTGTCTACAAATTATATTTAATTGTGGCTTATTTAAAATTACTGAGGTGTTCGTAACTGATGTGGCTAATTTAACATATTTTTGCGTTATTTTATCAAATCTTCTATTAGAAACAAACACAGCCGCCATGGTAGAAGGAGGGCTGACAGTGACTACTGACGAATGACGATTTGTCAGCTGTCATAATTCTCTAAAGATCTGACATTAAATTCATGGAATTACCATTTGCTACATACAGGAATTTAAATAAAGTAACATTTATAAATAAACTCAAGTCTTAGATAGTTGAATTTAATAGTTAGGGTAAGCACTTATATCTTATATAAATTAAAAATGTTAGTCGTATATCATAGTTTGTATACCATATATAGTGCTAACTGCTAAAAGTATATTCTCCTGGGTTCATTATGAGACCAGCTACAATAAAATCGACGTATAAGGACACGGTTTTAAGATTTTTTGTCAGAAATAACGAAGTTTAAGCAATAAATTATGACTAAACGATGTATTATTAGATATATTCTGTAAACCCACTTTAAATTGGTGCTAAATATTTATGAACTTATGAATAATGTAATGGTAGAATATTTTCACAAATAGGTATTATGCTTTTCTATCAACTGAAATGAATCGAAAAAGAATATTTAAGTTAAACTTCACAAGTTATAAAAATAAAACTAGTGTTACAAAAATCTAACATTTAATAAATTTCTCCAGTATTACAACATATTGCTTCATGAGATCTGTACAATTCTGTAAAATAATGTTTTGCTTAAAACTACTTAATCTATTTAATGCATTTTTAATATCTCTAAGTCTGTTTTGAACAAAGGGCAAAATGAATTCAATAATTACTCTATCATTGGAACATATGGCAGCTGAGTATATTAATCTACTTATATCTATATTTTTATCATAATAGTACTTTACAACCATCAACAGACCATAGAAATTGAAACTTAGGCCTCGATTGTCAATATACAATTCCTTATTTAGACCATGGTTATTTATAAATGTGATCTGATCATTGGATAATCTTATTTTGCAATCCCTTAAAAATGAATCAAAATTTTCATATGTAAAAGATACAAAATCAATATCATTGGATGGCAGATAGAAACCATACTCGGTTATTAATTTTAAATTATGACTGTCTCCGTAGCATATAAAAACTTGTGTATACGGATCAAAATTATTCTTTGTGTAAATAGAAAAATGTACATCACTAAATATATTCTCGTTGAGTTTTGTTATTGATATATTTTCCATTTCCTTAGCAACCACTAACTTTGTTTCATTCCTGGCGTTGGGACTGTGGTTTATCATGTCTAAGTATGGACACAATGATATTTTAGTGTTATCATTAATTAAAGATAATAAACAACTATCCACATTACTTAAATTTATAATTTTTGTTAAGTCCATATACACACATCTAGTGTTAATAGTAAAATATGCCCATTCATATTCGCACAGTGATATATACAATCTTAAATTTTGTACTTCAATGTAACTACTTCTACTATTCTGTAAAATATCATAAAAAATATTGTACGACATTTCAATGATATTCCTTTGTTTCATAATCACAGACACAATTTCTTCATCAATATGATTTTTTATATCATTCGGTAGATAGTACGGAACTGTATACATCTTTGGCAAACTCTCTAAGTATATATACCATTTGGACTTACTGCCCTGTGCTTTTAAATACATAATATAAAAAGCCATAAGGGACTGGAATGACACCTTTAACTTATATTTATCTAAACAATTAATCTTATTATCTAAAAAAATGCTACAAAATATTACATCCATCAATAAAGTAGTTACATTTATAGTTAAATTAAGCGGTAGGTTCAGTAGTTCCTCGCCGGCTGTTATTTTCTTTTTAGTTAGCAGCCCCCGTCCAGTATCTTTGAAAACTGCCAAAACTAATTTCTTGCTGTATTGCACTCCATGTTTCTTTAACCAAGAATTTAATAATATCAAATCATTTTCATTATTACACGTGTGAAACTTATCCAATTTATCATGTTTTCGATAACGTTGAGTTCTGCCCATGTTTTACGTTTGTATGAACCAAATGAATAATTTATTCATAATTATATACAGTCCTTACTTAACGTATGAAATTTATAAAATTTGAGGTGCTGAAGCACATTATTCAATTTTTAATTAATTATGAAGGGGTTATGCTTTATTTAATAAATAATTGATAGAAATGAGACTTATAAAACTATACCTAAGGTAGGTATAATTGTAAATTGACTGTTCAGTATTGACTATTGACAATTTGACATTAACTTCAGAGGTGTCAAAAATATTTTCCATTTCCAAATCATAAAATAAAACTTTAATAATTTTATGGAGATATGGCGGAAAATAATAAAATTATTTTAATATTTTTGTTCAAGTGGTTCAAGTTTAATATTTAGTTTAAATAAATACTCAAGCATAATTTATTTTTTTAAAAATCTTAAAATTTATATTGAGGTTCTTATGAAATATAGAAAAGATTACTACATTTTTCACAAGTCAAAAACATGAAATATATAGTTTATGAAATTAGAAAAAGAGCGCGGGAATTGAAACATTGACGCGGGCTTTTTGAAAATTTTAATTATTTTAAATAGTTTTATACTATAATTTTCAAATTTTTGTTTAGTTAAGAGATACCCTGAAGATACCCTGAAGATGCGGAAGCCAAGTCTGAATTCATAGTATTTGTCGAAAGTACTAATGACGTCCCACTCGGTAATAGGGACATGAATCATGATGTCGCTTAGTACTAGTTTTATACGCTCTGTGAAAGGTATGCAATATTTAAATAAATATAAGGTCCAACGTGCGAATTTGGCAAATGCCTTTTTAGAAAATACTACATATCTAAAGGAACAACGACTTAAAGCTTCAATACCAGCAGGGGCCACCGAACTATCGGGAGTTATCTCTTCGGTTCCCACTCATCTATCCAATCACAAAATCTATAAAGCAATATCAACAACAAAAAAAGTCATTTCTGTCCGACGCATAATGCGTAAAGCAAAAAGAGAAAATAACACCTTCACACTGCAACCAACTCAGAGCGTAGTAATAACTTTTGCGTCTGCTACGTCACTGCCGGACTATGTTCACATTAAGATGTGGCGCCTGCCTGTCTCCACATAAGTCCCACCTATAGAACAGTGTTTTAAATGTTTACGCTATGATCATCTGGCTAAGTTTTGCAAAAATTCATCGCGATACTCCATATGCACAGAGGGGCATTCTTTCAAAGAATGCAAGGTTAACATTGAAAAAGCTAAGTGCATTAATTGTAATGTCAATCACATTGCCATCTCTAGCCAGTGCCCTATAAGGCAAAAGAAAATCGCCAACAGTAAACCCAAGTCATATGCTGACACGTTAGAAGATTCATTAAATTGTCCCTCCCTTGATAAAAAATTAAATACCCAAGAAGTAATCCAAGCAATACTATCAAATTCTGAAGCAATGACTCTATTAACAGAATCTATAGTAAAAGTTATAACTTTAAATAAAACTCAATATATAAGTATTAGTTCACAATTTATTAACTCAGCTATTAAAGAAACCATCCAGGACAAAAATAGCAAATCGTCACATTTAACCACCAAATCTTAAATATTGTACAGTGGAACGCTCAAAGTCTGTTAAGTAACAGACTTGAGTTTCAAAATTTACTATTTGGTAATATACATGTAGCTCTTATTTCAGAAACTTGGCTCAAGCCTAGCATTCATTTTAATTTACGTGGTTATACCATTATTAGGAATGACTGCGGTAATGATCATAATGGCGTAGCAATATTAATTAAAAATGGTATACATTTCTCTAAACTAGATACTTTTTATGATGATTCGTTACAAAATGTAGTTATTGTTATTAAACTGAAACATAAATACATTTTTTGGTTAGTTTTTCCAGTCCTGGTAATAGTTTTCCTGCTTTTGAAAAGACGAAGTTCGATCGTTTATTGTACAGTATTCCAAAACCGTTGATAATTGCAGGCGATTTTAACGCCCATCTTACTTTTTGGGGTTGTAGTCGCATAGATTCTCGGGGCAGAGCTATTATGGATTCCATGGATGACCATGACTTAATACTTTTAAATAATGGTCAACCAACAACTATAGGCTCTCATATTTGGAAACCAAACCGTCTAGATTTAACTATGGTGTCTTCTTCTTTATTTCTTTCTTGTGACTGGCAAGTTCATCAGGACCCTTTAGGCAGTTATCATCTGCCAACTATCACAAAATTTACTCTCGTAAGAGATCAACATGAGCCCTATATTTTCTTGAACAACATTCCTTTTCACAGCAATCTGAAATAAGTAAATTGGGATAGTTATGAACAAATTGTTAATACAATGTTAATGAACTTTAAAGTTGACAATATTGATCTCCTTAACTCATACGGAAAGTTTTGTGCAATAATTCTATTGGCAATCAAATTCTCCGGGCCCAGCTTAAACCATAACACAACTGATAGTAATAATAACCGTCCTAGAAAAAGGTGTCAAGTGCCTTGGTGGAATGATAAATGTTCAAAAGTAGTAGAAGACTGCAAGAACGCCTACATTAATTTCAAAACTAGTCTTAATAGTAAAAATTACATTAATTTCAAACCAGCCATTTAAGCCATTAAAAAACGCACTTTAAAAGAAGAACGTTGTAAAAGTTAGTCTGAATTCTGCTCATCAATAAATCGATTGACATCTATAAATCGCATTTGGACTAAAATAAGAAAATTCAAAAAAAGCTTTCCGAGTTCTAACTTATTTTCTGACCTCAATTGGGTTTATTTTTATATAAATACACACCGGATACTGTTTCACAACAGATAAGTATAGATAATGTTCTTGGAGTAAATAGTGATAACTCGTACATGATCAGTTGTTTTACTATGCAAGTTAAAATCTGCTTTAGCCTCAAGAAAAGATTCTTCATGTGGCCTGGATTGGCTTTCCTACAGAATGTTTAAACTTTTAAATGTTCAAACTCTATCAATTTTTTTTAAGTCTATTAAATAGTTTATGGTCGTCTTCTATTACCCCAGAGGATTGGAAAACCGACTGTTTGGTTTGGTTAATAAAACAGAGATTATTTTTTCACATAGTAAGCAATAATCTTTTACCTTACAATCAGTTTGGCTTTTGTTGTGGCCGTTCTGCTTATGAGAGTCTACTTCATTTCTATCTGGATATCCACGATGCTCGTTCCGAGAATAAAGTACTAGTTGGTGTTTTTCTTGACATTGTAGGGGGGCTTTCAATAATGTACATCTGAACAAATTATCCTCAATATTATTATTACTACAGGTACCTGGAAAAGTTGTAAATTGGATTTTAAATTTTTTGAACTCAGAAAGGTGTTTGTTAAGGTTAACAATCAGTTATTTGGTCCAAGATATTCTTGTAGGGGTGTCTGTCTCACAGGATGGTGTATTGAGCCCATTGCTTTTTATCCTATTCATACATCAGCTAAATTTAACTCTGGGGTGTGAAGTTTCTAATCTGCAGTTTGCAGATGATTTAGTTGTTTATTGCTCTGATACTAATTTTTTACATGTACAATCAGTCCTCAATGTTGCTCTCCAAAGACTAAAGAACTATTTTGATAGCCTTGGGCTGGAGGTCAGCAATGAAAAAAGTAAAGTTGTTGTCTTTTCAAAAAATGGAATTAGAAATGGGAATGTAAATATTTTGTTCAATAATAATGTCTGTAGAGAGCTCTGTAAAGTTTTTAGGTGTTATTTTTACAAACAATTTTAGATGGAATAAGTATGCTGAAACTCTAGAATCTCGAGCTTTAAATGCTTGTAATGTATTAAAATCTTTAACAAGCACATATTGGGGTGCTGATCCAAGGATTCTATTAACATTGTATAAATCTTTAGTAAGGAGTCATTTTGAATATGCTTTTTTTTTTGTTTTGCAGGGGTAAGAACTATAGTAGATAAAGATACAAAATAAATGTTTGCGTATTATAATGGGTATATAATGTGGACTCCTCCCATAGCGTCATTGCAGGTGGAATATAATATACCTCCATTAGCACTTAGGTTTAAATACTTACAATCAAAAATTTTTGCAAGGTTGCTCTCCGTCAGTAATCATCCACTTCTTGTTAAACTGCGGGACACTATTAACATGACTGCCAATATTAATTCATATTTGTTTCAAGGTTTTTCTGAAACAGAACAAATTTGAAATAAACATAATATATTTTCTAGCATGGTATGGCCTTGTTTCTCTGGGTTATATGAATCAAAATTTATTCAGATTAAAATTGTAGTCAAAAGTCTTCTAAAGTATAAGGAAGACATTTATAGGGAACTTGATAGGTGGCAGGGTTATCATTAGATATATACAGATGGGTCTAGGAACAATGAAGCAGTCTCTATAGCTGTCTATGATAGTCAGACCAAAAGTGGATTCGGTCATAGGCTGAATCCACTCACAAGCATATACTCCGCTGAATCCATAGCTGTGTATACACAGACACAGACTCATCCTAAGTGGATTTTAATAAGGATAGTTTAAGTTCATTAACGGCACTACAAAATCCACAATTAAATTCAAAAACTAACTATATTATATATAAAACAAGTCTGCCAGGTTGTAGGAATGCTAAATGTACTCCGGCTTTGTGATGAATGCCCTGAACTGTGACCCGAGTAGCTCCAACTGAGACCTTATGTGACAATATGAAGCTATGGACTGTTCCTGCTCTATTGATAACGCGTTATATTCCTTTTGCTTAGCTTTCACCTCTGAAAAAGAAAATATTTATTTTATAACTTGAGATAATATTCCTAAGAAGTCTGCATATGGCATGCAAAAGGAAAAATAATGAAAATTTATTCTTTGAAAGATAATAAAATATTTATAAACTAAAAGCAGCCAGTGGACATCTCAACAGATTCCAACCAAAAATATATGGATAGTAGTTTTTGGATAAAACACAACAAACATACAAAGTGGTTTAAAACATACAAATGTTTAATAAATTTTCTTACTGTCAATGAGATCTGGTATTACAGCTTGATTTTGAAACTGATAGAAACTTCTCTCCAACATGTATTCAGGATTTATTTCCTCCACTCCTAACAAATTAAGGACCTAGTAATAAAAAAAAAATTAATAAAAAAATAACAATCTTCCTAACTATAAACTCATATAACTAACCATATTGTATATAAGATGGAATGCAGAATTTATAGGATCAGCCTTCCCTTGTACCATAGATTTAACAACACTGGGAGTAACCTTCTGGTCGATCATCAGTATGACAATACCTTCATCATCCAAACCTCTACGACCGGCTCTACCCGACATTTGGATATATTCACCTGAAGTTATCTACAAAAAGATTTATATAATAAACATATTATATCCTTTCAACAATACTTTATAGATTTATTTAGTATTTAATGTTCAAATACTAACAAATCTGAAATCCTTGCCGTCAAACTTCTGGCAATTTGTGAACACAACAGTCCTTGCGGCCATGTTGAGATCCATAGCGAAGGTCTCGGTCGCGAATAACGCCTGCAACATTTAGAATCGCAATTAATTATTGAATATCACCCAACTGGATTCATCAGATAATAATGGTAATGTATACTCCATATATTCCTACTAAATATTTTAGTATGTATGTACAAGTAGTATGTTAAAATCTTTTGCATACTGATTGTTTTAGTCATAATAATATACTAATATACCTTAATAAGTCCCAAGCCAAAAAATATTTCTATAGTTTCTTTCAGTATAGGCAACAGCCTATACTGAAAGAACATACATATGATGTATGCCGATATATAACATATATTGGCATACATCACGGAGGATTGTTATCCTCCGTGATGTATGCCGATTCCTCTCCTCAACAAGGGTATCACATTTTCAACCTAAGGCAGTTTACGATCATCTTCTGATAGAACATCCATCGCGTTGTTGAAAACCTCGCCTACGAGTTTTTTCTCTTCAACTGGAAATTTAAAAAATATTTTATTCATTAAAATATAAATTTGTTTACTGCATTTGGACAAAACTTCATTGAGTTCGGTTTAGATATAAATGTATAGTAGTTTTAAAATAGTAGATATGGTAACCAACACAAACAAAGTACCTAATATAAAGCCTGTCTCGTGATTTCATATACATACATTACTAGAAGACCCAGCGAACTTTGTATAACGATAAAAATCGTACATTTTTATCAGTTCATTGGAACATTTGGTCTGGTCTGGATGAAAACTATGGATCGCGAACAAGTTATTGCGTTATGGATACTGTATCGGCGTCGGAAAAGACAGGCGCAATCGCCTTCACTGGATTCACCCAATTAATCAGAGACGAGAGGAAGTCGGGATGTTCCACACATTATTTGAATATCTTAGAAACGATGACAAAAAGTTTTTCAACTACTTTCGTATATCAGTTCGCTCCTTTGATGAGTTACATGGGAAACTGAAGTGTTCTTCAACGACAAAACACGCAGTTCAGAAACTGTATACAACCCGTTGAAATGCTGGCAATATGTTTAAGGTAAGCATAATATTACAGTAGTAGGTAATATAATAAAACCTTGTGAATAAACAAATACTTTATTTAATTTTAATCACTCAAAATATATCAGACATCGAGGAATCTCGTGAAGCCGAAATAGACGGACTATGCTCAGTTTCAGTTGCTGTTGAGTCGCTGTAACTAAATCCCTGTAGGTACTGAGATCCGGATGCTTTATCCAGTTCGGATTGTGAATCTGATTGTTTAGGCGTTGATTGCTGCGTCGGCCTTGCTTGATTTTGCTGTTCACGTACATATTGAGAAAAGTGAAGCTGTTGTGCGCTATCTTGAACGTAGCCCGAAAAACTAGGATTTGCATATTGTTGAGGTTGAAATGGAGGTTGTTGAACATGGACAAATGCTTGCGGTTGGTTAACGGGAGATGGCTGAAGCATGTACTGAGGTTGTGGTTGATAAGAGGACGCAGAAGAGGGGTTGTTTGATTGAAGATGAGGAGTTTCCTTTAGTTTGTTTATGTTTTCTATTACGTTTAACACTCCCACTTGAAATTGAAGGAATTCACTGTTGGAATAGTTTGCCAAATGAGGCATTAAACTCTTCAGAGATTAATGCCTCATTTGAAAAACCTCCTTCAGCAAGGACATTCTACTGCATATTGTTTTATGTTCCAGAGCTTTGAGCATTTTCACCTCAACCTCATCTAGTTTCTTTCGTTTCCTTGTTCCTACGGGCTTGGATGGCAGGTTTACGTTGGTAGAAACTTCAGGTTCACCAGTGGTGCCTTCAGGCTCTTCATCTTCTTCGAGTGTTCCTGGTACAATTTCTGGGTTGAAGCTGTCTACCGTTTCTTTTTCGGTGTAGATCTTATTCAAAAATTGAAGTTGGTCTGAAAACACATATTTCTTACGTTTTTTAGCCCCAGATCCACTTTTTTTAGCAGATTTGTCATCTTTTTTCGATTTTTCGAAGCAATCTCGGAGATTAGTCCACCTTTTCACCACTTCTTTGCCTGTAAAAAAATAAATAAATACAATCAATTCAGTATGATAATTATTAATGACAATGTTCACTTTATTTCAGATATTTGGCGAGTGGCTGTACGTTTACGGATTTGCACTATACCTACAGAGTTGGAATTTCAACAGCAAAAAACATAGTTGAAGAAGTATGTGCTGCGATTTGGTCTGAAATGCGAGAAGAGTGTATACCGACACCAACTTGTGATATGTGGCAGTCAATTGCTTCCAACTTTGAAAGTATCGCAAACTTCCCTCACTGCGTTGGAGCTGTGGACGGCAAGCATATAAGACTGACTTGTCCGTTTGACTCAGGATCAATGTATTTTAATTACAAAGATTACTTCTCTATTGTCCTTATGGCTGTAGCAGACACAAAGTACAGATTTGTTTACGTTGATGTAGGGAGCTATGGTAAAGAGTGTGACTCGTCAATATTTAAGAGGTCCAAATTGTGGAAATCAATAGACAGTGGTTCTTCACCATTACCTGAGGAAAAACTTCTTCCAGGAACAGAGAGTCCTAAAATACCATACTTCTTTGTTGGAGACGAAGAATTTGGCTTACACAGACATCTACTGAGACCCTTTGGAGGGAAACACTTAACAGTTGAAAAAAGGGTCTTTAATTATAGATTGTGCAGAGCACGAAGATATGTGGAATGTGCGTTTGGCATCCTGAGCAATAAATTGCGTATATTCCATCGCCCTATCAACGTTCAGCCACATTTCGCAGTGCTCATCGTCAATGCGTGCATCGTATTGCACAATTATGTACGTGACAGAGACGGATATCTTGTTGAGGACACAACGACGATCACAGGCCTGGAAGATGTATCAGGGGAAAGCACTACACAAGGAGGCTTGGAAGCAAACAATATCAGAAGTGTGCTTACCTCATATTTTTTGACAGAAGTCGGAAGTGTATCCTGGCAAATGTCTAAAGTATAATTTGTCATATATGTGAAAATAAATAAATATGTAAATTAAATAAAAAATAAAGAGTATCTCTGTTGTAGATAGTAAATGAAGTGAATTATACAATACATACAACACCGATATACATTAAAAAAATACAATATACACACATCCAAAAAAGTAAGTTTACTTTGCTTAATAGATAGTTAATAGGTATAGTACTTACGAAATGCATTTTTTTCTCCATCGCCATTGTTCTCGAAATCCGGATTGAGTGCTAAACATACTTCTTCCCAGGCTTTCCTTGTTGCATTTCTATCCTTATAAATTTCTAAAGTTTTGTCCCATAACACAGGTTTTGCTTCAACTAGGGATATTAACACTTCAGCGTCAACACCTTCCATAATTTGCAAACAAACCACCGAAACTGAACGCGGTAGAAACAATACTGGGGTCAAAAAAAAACGTTTGTATCAACAACTACTAATAAATTAAAAATTAATTAAAAAAACATTGTCCAGCAGACAAAATTGTGAATCTAAACTATTCCCAGATCCCCTTGAACACACACAAAAAATTTCATCAAAATCGGTCCAGTCGTTTGAGAGAAGTTCAGTGACATACACACTCACAAAAGAATTATATATATAAAGATAAGAGAGTTGTATCACCTGCTGTCTCAAAACAAGCAAATGGTCCTATTCCTGACACCAGCCCACATTGGTGTGCATGGTAATGAGCAAGCAGACTATTTAGCTAAATTTATTACAAATCCGGCTCACAATCAATTAAGTCACAGCTTTTAAAATTTCCCAATTCCTTATTCAGACACTCTATCCCTCTTCAAACTCAAGTTACAGAAAGAATTTTACAACTGATGGCATCAGGTGGTAAAGGTAAAAGGTAAATGGTTCGCTACAATAAAGAAAAAGGTCTCTTCCCCTGGTTTACCCGGGATAGTGACTATAGCCATAGAAAGTATTATACCACAATCTGTCGTTTGCGTCTGGGACATTGTAGTTTTGATGCTCACCTTTTTAAGATTGGTGTTTTTGACTTTTCAATTTGTAGATATTGCAATAGTGCTGATGAAACCCTCGAACATATTTCTTGATTGTCCACAGTTTAGTATACAAAGGATGGTCCTTGTAGACCAACTTTTAAGTATTTTTAAAACTGCTGAAGATATCCCGGGCACCCTTCAGCAAATACTAAGCATTCAAGAACGCTTCTTGCCAGTTTATGGCTTTATTGTTTCTACTATAAATGAAATCTAATTGTTATTTGTACATATGTATATAATACAAATTTATTTGTTTTGTTTTAGATATTTGCTTCCAGCTATTTCAGCTATTTTCAGAATTTGACTGTTATATCGATTTTGACAAATTTATTATTGTACTAAAAATGACATTACAAGGACTTGACATTGAAAAAAGACGGAATGTAAAAAAAAATACAAGAATTTGACAAAAAATATATATTTTATTTAAAGGCATGGCTTCGGCCTTATAATTAAAAAAAAATTCAAGCAGAAAAATTAAAAGAAGACATGGCTTCGGCCTTAAAATTAAAAAAATGTTTTAAGTAGAAAACTAAAAGAAGACTTGGCTTAGGCCTGATATGAAAACTTGAGTCAAGAATAAAAAAGGAGATTAAGACTTTTAAAAATAATTAAAGATACAAAATATAAAAGACATGGCTGTATGGGCTTTGTTCTCTTTACCTGTTCTGAACGGAACGAACATAACAAAAAAAAAGTTTATGAATTTACTCCCCATTATTTTCGATTTTTTATGATATTGATTTTTTTATAACTATATTTAAACCTAATATATTTTTAAATATTTTGTAGTACTAGATATTTTTGGAATATTAATTAATATTTAAAATAATTTTAATAATTTTTAGGTTGCGAATTTATACAATAACAAAGCTTTTATTATTGGATTTTAATACTTTTGCACAGAATACATATATGTGTGTATATAAAGTTGCCAGACTCTATAATGTCAGTTTAAACTTCTAAATTAACGGATTTGTTTTGCCGTTATCAACCTGTTTGTCATTGCACCTTTTAGTATTTTTGTTAACTTGTTACAGTGCTTTTTAACACTGTTTTATAAGCTCATTTTAAGATTTTTAATTAAATAATGTCTCAACAACAAACAAAAAATTGTATAACGCTGAAAGGCTCTGCACAAATCATTTGTGAATATCTCAGTAAGTATTAATCAATATTTAACATTGATTTGAATACAAATAAACATTGTTACGTTAAATAAAACGTTAATATAATGTTTCACGTTTTAATTAATTAATTATTGACTCTCGTTTAAAATAAAATTATCAAAAGGCCAATAATGAATATTTTGCGGATGTATGTTCAATGATTACGTTTTAAATTTCAGAATACGCCATTAATTCAGTATTATTTCAAAGAGGCTTGTATCCACCAGAAACATTTAAAGCAGAACAGCAATATGGAATTACTCTTCTCATATCTGAAGACCAACAAATTAAAAACTTTCTTACAAATCTATTGACACAAAGTGAAGGTATATTTTTTGTCATTAACGCCTCACATATGTCTAATAAATTACTTCTTGAAAATTTATTGCTTAATTGTCTTAACTCATATGGAATATTAATTTTCAGAATGGATTCTCAACAAAAAAGTCAGTAAGCTATCTCTAATAATACTCAATGTGGCTAACAAAGAAATATTGGAATGCTGGGATTTCAATGTACAGTACGAAGATGGTGATGCAGCTTTATCTAAAGAGAAAAATGAGAAAGTAGGAAGTAAAGATTTGAAGAAAATACAACAAGAGATACGCGATGTTATGCTACAAGTGGCTGCTACGATTTCATATCTACCTTTCTTAGATTGTAGATGTTCATTTGATGTTTTAGTACATGCTAAGACCGATTGTGACATTCCTGAGAAATGGGCTGAAGCCGAGCCGATAGCTATAACTAATGCACAGAATGTACAACTGAAAACCTTCTCAACCAGCCTACACAAAATGGAAACTGTTGTCAGTTACAAGCTCGCAGATTAATATTAAGTTTATATAAAAACAATTATTATAAGTTTTAACCATTTACCATTCAGACTTAACTGAAGTAATTAAGTAGTTTGTGGAAATCAAAATAATTGTTAATTATTAGGTTTAGTTTGTGCCTTACTTTTGTTTAAGACTCAAGTGTATATAGACTGTGATAGTATTGTAAAATTAATGTTTTTGTCATTTGAATTATTTATTTTTTTTAATCTTTACATGCATGGAAATTAAATAAACTTTGGTACAAAATATGTTTTATTTATTTTGTTAAAGAAGGTGAAGTCTACACTGTTATGAGGTGGTTATATTTTACTGCAAGCTTCATGACTATTTTGTTAAATATCTCCATTGATTTTATATGAATCCTGTTGATATAATAATTTTAATTTGTTCCAATTTTAAAAAAAGTTTCCAACTATTTAGATATACATATAAGTAGCTATGACAATTTATGACTAGAATTATCAGGATTTATATATTAGAGGTGAATAAAAAAGAATATAGGATGCTGAAAAGCAAATACCTTGGAACTCTTTTTATAATAAAAAAATATTAGGTATCACAGATTGTTATGTAAACATAATTTAGTGAAGAGTTTTCATGGAAAAACAACAACAAGATTAGTTTTTTTTGTTTTTTATTAAAACAAAGCACTTACAATTAGCTATTTAAGCGTACAATAAATAATGTTAAACCAGCAAATAATACTGTACAAAACCGTTGTTACAAACTAACAGTTCGCCTCACCACCGACGACATGTTACGTGGGACATTTCAAGATTCTGTTTGTTAAAAATAATACATTAAAAAGTAAATATCTTATTTATTTTAATATTATGAACAATGAGGTGGGATCGTTTTGAATAAATGGGTGGTATTTTTATTTTTTGTAATTAATTAAGAACATAATAATTATGATGATTAATACCTTCTATGAATTCGCAAGTTGGGTTTTTTATAAATTGGACTTAGTACTTATCGAGCTAGCTATAAAAATAAGTAGACACTTTTTCTAAGTTGTATAAATATTATGGGACTAAATTTGACGTCTTGTCACAATAGCACAGATGTAAAAAATATTACAAAAGCACCCATTAAATTATGTTTTTTTTCTATAGTTAAAACGGTTCAGCTTGGGGTCTTATTTATCAGTCTTGTATGCGTAATATAAAAAGTAGATTCCAAATATATTTAAGGATTCGACAACCAGTGACCATTAATGTCATTTATAAGGATAAAGGCATAGACGCATTATAATATAGTCATGATTTTAAGCTTACAATTCTATAAAATGCGGGAATGATTCGTAATTATATCTATAGGATTAACTTCGCCGAGTAGAATTGTATTAAAGTCGTTCACCACAAACGTTCTCCCAAATCTGAAAAATAAATATTGTTAATAAACAATAAAAAAAATATAGGTATTTATTATTTTTCTACATTGCATCTAATCTATATTAATTAACATATATCTCTATACTATATGTATTTAACGAATGAGTCTCAACATATATTATGTAACAAAAGTATGTACACAAATATATATTTAGAGGACAAATATATTATTCATGCATGCTAGATTCTAATAAATTTGTTATCTCACAACAAATAGTAAGTAATTGTTATAGTGATAGTTTTAATAGATGTACCCAGAGCATGCTTCCCTTAACATTAGTGACTGAAGCATTAGTATTCGGACAAACATGAAAAAATGTAACGGAACGGGTATTCAGAGAGATTCACAGATCATTCATACGTGATATGAATATTCATAGACAAATAAACGAATGTTACATTTTCCCATTCAATGAAATGAGTGCGGATAGCGAAGATTTAGTGTACAACAAAAAATAAATTTGGAATAAAAATACATACCGTGTTCCGTAAAATTCCACCGTAATTTCGAAGGATTAAGGAAAGTGCAAAAAAATAAAAAAAACAAATAAATTATCGTCTCTCTGTTAATTCCAACACTCATTCTTTTATTGTAATTTTGGTATCTTCATTACATAACATAACACAATATTTTGCACCTTAGTATTTGTTGTGAGACTACAAATAAAAAAAAGTGAAATGACGTCAAAGATGAGCAGAAAACAGTAGGTAGAAAAGTGAAGGCTCTCACCAAAAATGAACGTGTAATTAAAGAAAAATAAAAATGTTGCAGCATTGACGTCACTTTACCTGTGCTGTAATGCCCTATAACCCTCAATCTGTATTTAATAATAAATAGACCCCTTTCTAGTTAAATTACATATAAATAATGCACTTAATCAAGAACTTTATACAAAATGAAATAATAGTTAAACTAGGACGAAGCCATCTGTTGAATAAATATCTGTCCCGTATAGCGATGTAAGTACATAGATGATGAAGTCGCTATATCCACAACCATTCATCCAAATATCGACACTATTAATATAATAATTTATTTATATAGTCTAGATTTTATGAATTAAAACTGCTATTTGACTAGCTGGAGTTTGTCCGGTTTTGCAGAAAATTTTGATAAGCCTGAAAGCCGGTTCCAAAAAAAAAAAATTAAATGTCGGTGTAATGATTTCAAATGTATGAATATTTTTGAAATGAAAAATGAATTAAAAAAAAACAATGCTCTTTATTGGACGCGTTAGTTTATAGTTAAGTCGAGAACTATGATAAAATTGAGTTTGTAATTTATTTTAAAGGTGTAACTAATGAACGAGTGAACGAGACGAAATGACAAAGATGTAGTAATAATCTGTGCTTATAGATACATATATTGATGAATGAATGAATGACTAAATGAACGAATTCATGTTTGATTGTATGAATAGAAACCGGCCGTTAGCAGATAGTATTTCTCTTTATAAATGAGAGAATGAAAGTATGGCCTAAATTTAACTCAGACACTGTAAGTGAGTAGATTTTGATATTGTTCAAGGGATTCGCCTTTGAATGTGTTTTGTTAATATTAATAATGTAAAAAATCTTACCCTAAAAGATATGTACAAAACTTGCAAGTCTCTTTATCAGAATAAAATTAACCTATAATGAGTTATCAAACCTTAGTAAATAACAATGTAAAAATTGCAAAACTACAAATATGTGTAAAATATTTACAACTTTGTATAGACATAAAACGATTCTGATATTATTTTTTCTAAATGATTTTACGGAAGGCTCTATAAATAATGTTTTTATTGAACTATGATGATCTAAAATGCATAATAAATTTAATATTAACGTTAACTTAACATTATAATCTCACTGGGCCAGCTATTTATATAATACATTTTATATTTATCTATAATAATTTAAAGCTTCTGCTAAGAACTTTATGGTTATAAAGCAAAAAAAAAAATACTTTTGTTATTATCGTTAAAAAAATAATAATGGACGTCTAATAATTTCACGACATACTATAGAAGCTGCATGTATTCTCGTATCGATTTCGAGATACAAGAGTTTCTAACAAAATATATAAAAATGGGCATGCAAACAGCTGGCCCCATAACAGAAAGTCGCTGTAATGCAACAAATTAATATATATCGAAGCTTTCTCTATTACGCTACAAAATGCGCACGGACTGAGTAAATATTTTTTGCATTAAATCTCTTTAGATGATGGCTGGAAATTGTCGCATCGAAAAAAAAAATATCTGCCAAGTCCGAGAGAGCGCGGGAAATTCGAACAGTGCTAATATATAATTGGAACGAGGTGGGTATCGGCTACGCTGGCTAGCAGTAGTAGGACGTCGAGAGGCCCAGTTTGCATGTGTAGGAATGATACATACTGCTCCTATTTGACACGTCCTTATTTTCGCAGCGTTGCCCGTTGAAGCCTTCCGGGCATCTGGAAAGTAAACCCAAGTTTTTTATCTATACAAATTGTTCAATAAAAGTTACTACTACATATAAAAGATTTCTGTGAATGATTAAACTTCTACTACATAATATCATAATATCTCTAAGTTTTTTTTTAATACAATATAATATTTCAAACAAAAACGAGGTAGGTGTACCGTGAATAATGCTTTGCTTTGTTACAACTTACATATCATCTGACAATCTAAATATGTAGTTTCGTATCGTTAATTCAGTGTAAAGTACATCCATAGTCCACATTTTGTTTGTAACTATTGTATCTTAAAAATAAACTCCTGTCGTTTCAGAGCAATCACATTTTTTTTCTTTAAAGAATCGATCTCAATCTTATACATATATTTTTCAAACTTACTTGCAAGCTTGCTCTTGAACGAGCTCAAAGAATAAACAAGTGCCTCCATTCAGACAGTAGGAGGCTGGGTCAGGCATCGGACAAGGGGCGCCGAGGATCGCTGGAAATATAAAATAAAGATATTAAGAAGACTTATAATTTATCTACTTTAATACGGCAGATGAGAAATAACGTTCTAAATGAAACTTATATTTTTCGGATATATTATTCATACTTTATTTATATAATAAACTAGAAGACTTCGTATCGCCCTATAATCAAGAAATATCTATTACGTTTTTTTATTTATATTTTTGGAGTTTACCTGTAAACCATAAATCTTCGTGTTTTGAAGTGCGACAGAATGATTGACATATTAGTTAATTGTCAAATCTAATGTCAAAAAAACGTTTGTATGGGAAAAGGGCTGTTTTTATGGTTTTCCCAGTAATGAATGAATTTTTTTCAGCTTTTATACCTTCCCTGAACCTCCACGAACATTTCAAGACTAAGATAAGATAAATCCGTTCAGCTGTTCTCGAGTTTTAGCGAGACTAAGGAACAGCAATCCATTTTTATATATATAGAAGATAGAAGAATACATACTCCTAACGTTTCGGTTACTTTTCAGCAACCGTGATCTCGTCTGCCGTGATCAAAGTTGCTAAAATATCCAAAAAAATATTAGTTTCACTAAAACGATTTTTCGCGAAAGTCTTAGATCTCCTTGTAATAACGTTATAGAGGTGATCTTACGATATTCCAAGAATATAGATTATATTAAATGGGTAAGTAACGAAAATTTTGCTTCTCAAAATATGAAGTGTTGAAAGCCTATTCTCATTTAGATATTACAAGTAAGAGACAGTTACTAAGCTTTAATCAATTGAATTTTCTTTTTATTCTTAATTACATTCTATAGAAAGAAAAAAATAACAATTTATTAATGTTAATAAATAATTTCTCAAAATTAAAGCAAGCTTTTTCTTTTTTGCAATTTATACCCTTAAGTGTTGTCAATCGTAAAATCGTTTGGCAGCTGATGTTTGGTTTAATAAAAAAAGAGAGCTACAGGATATGATAAATAATTAGTTGTCTTCATTATTTGAGATTGCTTTAGTGAGACGATAAACACATTGGTTCTCCGGAAATTAATTTCTAGTCAACAAAATGAATGTTGGAACACAAAACTGCTTAAGACATTACGATGGTAATCAGAATATGAGTTCTAGATCTGGGTTTATCATCAACAGATATCATTTTGTAAGGTTATTCGAAGTCAGAGGTCTATATCAACTAGTCTCCTACCATCCCGTTACAGGAGGAAATTAAAATTTGTAATTTTAAAAATTCGTACACATTTTTTTGCAAAATGGTCTTGGAAAACATTTATGAAAAACTGTTGACGTATCAGCAAGACGTAGAAGCTATTTTCTTATGTATTATTTGCCAAAAATCTTAATTACAATCTAAACACCTAAAACTATGTTTTCTATCGTATAATTTTGCGTTTTGTTTTGAGATCAATAACGGCTCGTATAGTTATGGCTATGAACAGCTGATACTAACTCAACAGTTGCTTATTCATTATGGGTAAGTGATTGTATTTGCTTTTATCTTATATTACATTGTTTATCATTCGCGGAATCCGCCGACAACTTTTCCCGTGTAAACTGAAACGGTATTGAAACTGTTAACAATAGCCAACATGTTTGATTCCAGTTATTTGAAAAGGTCTCCTAGTTAATGATATATTTTACGGTATATATATAAAATTTATAAAAATATGTGTGACGTCATTCGTTGCCAACGAAAATAAGAGAACAATTAATTATATAAACAACAAGCTGTTGGTGATTTATCAAAATTGTTGAAATCGAAAATAGTCGTAATTTTTCTGCATAAATGTCATGGGACTTAATTTATGTTTGTGAAAGGGAGATATAAAAATTTCTACAGTAAAATATTGATTTTCCTACCTGAAGAGAAGTAATGAGACGACAAAAACCGTCATTTTAATAAGTTTTAGATGCCTTTGTGAGATTCACTCTACGTATTTTTCAAATTTCATATTTTTCCTTCACTTATAAATTTTTAGGGCATATTTACGTGTCGTAAAAGCGTACACATATATCATAAAGACTTGTAAGTGAGCGCATTACATACAAAATATATTTTAGAGATATATAAATCTTATAATCGAAAAACCAACAGTCCTTTTAAAGTAGAATTAAATTCAAATAAAAGCTTAATTTTGCTTTAATTTAAAAAATAAACATCTCAATTTTTTTGCCATTCATACAACGTTTATCCAAAACTGCAAAATTACAAAACATGAATAAGTGCTCTTAATCTTGATGATAGTGATATACTCACAAGTATCTGGTGCGGTGGCGACCGGTGCCACGACGCTCACATTAGCGCTGGTGACGGCTGGAGGTCCAACCGCGCCCTGGGCTCGACACTCGTATGTGGCGGAGTCCTCGCGACGAGCGTGTCGAATCACGAGGATCGAACGACGTCTGAAATATATATAGGACTATATAGAACAAAATATCATATAGATTAGGACCATTCTTATTGCACTGTAAAAATTTACATGGTTATTTAACATACAGAATTATTGTTCACAATGGCGGGCTTATTTCCAAAAGAAATCTCTTCCAGCCAACCCACAGGTGTAAGAGTTAGTGTGTACCAGGTAGTTCCTGGACTGGAAAAAGGATGAATCTCGTCATGAGATCTAAGACTTTCGCGAGCAATCATTGCAATAAAACTAAGTTTTTCAGATTTGTGAGAAATGGATGTCAGAGAGGGACATTCTCACCTCGTCTGTACGTAATCGCGGTTGCTGCAAAGTAACCGAAACGTCGTCAGTACCTATGTAGTTCAAAATAATAATAAACGAGTTATAAATCCGTAAACTATTAGTTTTATTTCAAGATGAATTTCGTCCTGAAAAGTCACAATGGCGATTTCAATACATATTTATTCCCATTAATGGAAAAAGACTTCAGGAAAGAACTGTAGGGTAAGTCAAGAGGGTTTTTATAATGGACAAAATATTGGAGATTGTATCGACACTTGAAAAGAAATTTCGCATTTATTGCAACAAAGAAAGATGTTGTCTTACAGTCTGTATATATAAATTTGTTAATACAGTTTCTATTTTCGTTTGGATAACAAATTTGAGGGATCTAAGAGCAGAGTCGTGGTGTGATTAATAAATTAAACATGCTATAAAATACAGAAAAAATAGATTGAGTCGACTTTTGTTTGTCTTCAAGGTGAAGTCACCAAAATTAAGAATGCTTTAAATTATGTGCTAAGAATGAATTATTTCAGCACATAGAAAATAATAAGCTTTTCATTGTTAGCTTCATATCTCTGTATGATAAGTTCATCAGTAAAACGATCCGTGAAATGACTGTTCGTATCACTTAATTATGATTATGTTCAATTACTCAAACAACTGTTCCTTTGAACATTCCAGAACGATCTATATCACCTTAGGTCAATGGCAGTCTGTGCCAGCTATTACTGATGTAATTGTACGTTGCATTAATGTAAGCAACATAAGACTATCATTCTAACTGTTCGATACAACACCATCACCAGATCATACAAACACAAACAGAATACAATTATAATTATATTCATTTATTCTAATATACAGCGCGACTGGTGAATTACTATCGATATTTGAGGACGTGATATTTGACGATCATATATGACAAAATAAAAATTAATATAACATAAATATTAATAAACTTCTAAGTAAAGTTAACCAAAAGTTATGTAATTAATTACGCATCGTATGAACACCCTACAGATTAGGTATACACACACACACACAGACGCGGCGGCGGCGTAGTGTTGTATCAGCACGCCGCCGCACGCGTCCACATTTGGAACACTTGGAACGTGTACACACTTGATTTATTTTTACGGAAATTTGGTCAAAAATTAAGTACCTATTTTTTTTACATAATTCGAATAAGAATCATGTACCGAGTATGCTCCTTAAATATTGATAGTAATTCACCAGTCACCCTGTATATTTCACGAGATTAGAACTTAATTTTGATAAGAAAGGACTAAAATTATTATGTTAAACATAAATAAACAAAAAAGTATTTAAATAAAATTTGTAAGTAAGTCAAAAACGAATTGTTATTTTCTTTATTGAAATTAGTTCAATGATGTAACTCAATTTTATTTAATGCAATTTGGAAAGACGTAAAACGCATCGTAAAATTTTGCGAGTTCGAAACAAAAGCTTCGTAGGGAAGACACGTTGCAGAAACTAAATAATTTTAAACAGACCATAAAGACACTTTAAAATTATGAAACAAATAGTGAACATTATGCAACGAATTTACACAATTTTAAGTAAATATATATTTCTGGCATATTATAAATAATACAAAACTATGTATAAAGCAGTTGTTAAAGTTAAGATGATAAGTTTTCGTATTACCACATACCTATATTAAAGATTTTTATCTAAAACACATTTATAATGACAACACCATTATATTAAACTATTGTAATATTTTTAAACGCTTATGTTAATGTTTTCATTTATGTCGCATTTCAAATGAAATAATACATAATTTTTGGGTATTATGTCCCAAAACAATTAGAATGATCCATACGGTCTAAGTGGCTTACTTAGTCAACAGACTTAAAAGAGTAAGTTTAAAAAAGAATAATAATGAAAAAAACAATACTATAATACGCAATTCACTACGATCCCTATTCCTTGTCAGACCTAGGTAGGTATCGCATATCTTAGATTAACCTATATATAAACTGCAGCAATTAGCTATGCTCTACCAACTGAACAGTATGCCTTTCATTAACAATTGTGTATTCGATTTTAGCAAGCAATTAGGTGATACATGGAACATAGATAGATAAGCGTATAATATTTGTATGACTATTCTGTGGTATATAACGCTTACCTATAATTTTGCACCCGGAACCGCCTGAGTGCGATTTCGGCGACTGGCCGTCCATCCCTGTACCACGATATCCTCGGCGGAGGACGAGCGCTGGCTCGACACTCCAACTTCACTCTACTTCCTCGAGAAATGCGAACAGATTGCATTGGCTCTATACGAGCGGGGCTACCTGTAATATACACAAGAATTTGAGTTAAATAAGCAGTTTTGAAGAGAGAATAAAGAATATCCATAAAACTAAGATGAAATTTGGATTAATTTATTTGAATGCAAATTTAAAATGCACTGTGTCATCGACAACGACGAAAACAATTCAGATGTTCGTAATTCGCCGAAGTATGTCTAAAAATCCTCTTATTTATGATATCTTAAGCTATTGTTTATGTTCACTTGCCAAAAGCGTAATGCCCGCACCGAAACCGATGTATATTATACTATTAACGTAGTACGCGTGAAAATTTCCACGTTAGCATCTCTCTCACCTCAGGAACACTTAAAAACGAGTCGCCTTCAAAAGTCCCCACTAAAAATAAGTTACTGTCATTAGGCCAATGGCCTTATTATTTCGGTTGACGGGTAACATATGTAAGAACAGAAATAAACCGTATTATCTAAACAGGAGTCATTGGACACCCTGCGACCAAAAAAAATTGGCCACGTTTCAGTGAATACGTTACGATAAATGAGACATTTCATGATTCGTTGTTATGAAACAGTGATTGAGTATGTTTTGATTTCGTATAAGTGTGCATTCGTCTTCATAATATGCAGCCGAAGATGTTGATTCAACTAATAATCATAGATCTTATTAAATATAGATCTGGTGACGAAATTAGATATAGTTAAATTACTATAGGTCTGACTTAAATATCATATCACTTCATTTTCTTAATTATATTATAGAAAGACTAAAACAACTTTTTTTTCTTTTCTTGTCAGTCTTCTGAATGGCTGAAAGGGTGTATGGTAACATTGACGTTTAATACAAAACTAGTCTGAAATCCTTTAAAAATCTAAGAAACATCGATATTCTCATCATGACTGGTATATTCAGGATTCAAAGGTTTACAGTGTAGTTTCATTATAATGTATAAATAAACCCGTTAAATCGTTTCGTGTTTTGAGTAAGGAATATAAGAAAACAAAGTTTCTAAAAATAAAATAACTTATTGTTTTGTTGAGTATTTATATCCATTAATGTCAGCTACCCACGTATTCTCTCATATAGGAATTTTCTTTAGTCAGAGATAATTGGTTATAATGGACATGGTCATTATGTTTTAATCTAGTAGAATTGCCAATATGACGTCAGGCCATTGAGGCTGTACGCCTACTTTCATTCATAATACGCTCTAAAACGGAATTCCTCGCCTTGCCAATGGACTCGCCTACAGACTGACGTACCAACTTTAATATGAATGAACTATCCATGACTATATTTTGGACAGATGTTCCCAAAAGACTTCTCCACAAAAAAAGGGCAAAACTTCACTAACATCTTCATATATGCAACTGATAACTTAATAAGGAAAAATTTACATGAGACGTAAATTTCAGAGATTCGAGGTAAAACATCTTACTTGATCATTTACAAGAATTCTCGAATCCCTAAGAAGTATCAGTATAAATAATATTTAACATGTTTTCGTACGCCTCATTCGTATTATATCACTCATGAAAATTATGACGCTGTTATTTTGTAAACTTGAGTGCGTAAGATTTCATCACGCTGTGAAAAATTTACACACTTTCTTGAGTCCAATTATCTTTGGCGGTTGTCACCAGGGTTTATATATAGCACATCCTGTTCGGAAACTGAATTGGACCGCAGGTAATCTGGATGGAAGCCAAGCCACTATTAAGGACCGCCGCTGTCATTGAAACATTTTATATTTCTAAGAACTCACCATTTAAAACTTTTATTAACGATATTTCGAGGTCTCAGCTACTACATTTCCTTTCCATAATGTATCTAAATTAATTTAACAACGTAAGATTGTCTTGCTAGTGCTTTGATCTGTCCCTTCAATGAACTCGGTGACAAAAATTTACATGTGAAGTTGAGTATGGAAATAATCTACGATTGTTTCACCTATAGGTATCTAAGCAATCATAGCTAAACGTATGCTATTAGGGCTTGTAGACGTAGTAATATCTATACAAATATTATATATAAAATAAGGAGATGGTGATAAACAGAATAATTTATCAAATATTGATTTAATTGTATAGATATTCATTAACAAATATAACCTAATAAAAGAATAATAAAGCTCTACAAGACATTAGACAGTGTTCAAAAGGAGACAGATTTAATAAAGTGTGTCAGTTAGACATCCATAGACAATAATTAAAGAGACATAGTTCCGAATCAGAAACAGAGATGGCGTCAGCCTCGCACAATTATAAATATCCTAGTGGCAATTAAAGACAGGCGGAGAAACGATTCAAAATAAACCTAGCGACGGAATTGTATTGCATCTGAGAACATTTGTTGCTACACCACTTTGTTTACTTTCAATACAAGTAGAATGATAACACGAAGCAAAGTATTCCTTTGTATTAGATCGGTCTTGTGTTTTTGGACATTTTAATTATAAGCAACTAGAAAGGAATGGTAATTAATGACTAATAAACGAATAGTAATGCCAGTCATCAAAGTTACTGCAAAATAAACAAAATTTCGGATAAAATTAAAAAAAGAATTTAGAAAAAGATATTTAATATTTATTCAAATTTACACTCACGAAAGTCTTGGGTGCTTTTACTCATTACTATTTAAAGAAAATTCACCGGTTTAATCTTCATCTAAAACATATTAAGTATTCTAAGCTTAATTGATCTACCTCTTGAAAAGATGCTTACATATATGGCCAAAATACTCCTATAAGATTTACTTTGTCAAACTACTCTCTACTCCTATAGTACACAACATAATATGTAGTTTCAGTTATAAAATCCAGCTTTGTCTTTGACTGGAACATTTTGCAAAAACAAATGATGAACTTCTAGTTAATTGATTTAACATCTTTACTTACAAAACCTACATTAACTCTATGGCAACGTACAGAAAACTAATTTTATTATTAGAAATTTATATAGGAATGTTAATAAAAGTTACAATAGCGTAGGCCTAGTAACATAACTGATAATCATCGTGTGTGTTCGTTTGCTAATAAAATGTTTTAATATCTGTATTCTGAAAGCAATTACTTATAATATAACACACACCATATAAGTCACTATTAACTTAATAGAAAACTTCAATAAGAAAAGATATATATATATGTACTACATTAATAATTTTTCTAGATTTGTTATGTTGAAAGCATATATACACGATTCTAATATGATGTACTACAAAAGATAAGTATCTTTATATAATTTAATAAAATATACTCACAAAAACAAAGCACAAGCTTATGTTGCCTTTATATGTAAGTGATAATTATGACGATCGCCGAAGTCCTAATAATTACGGTGAGATCGATCCTATACAACAGTTGAAATACAAACATTACGAATAACTAATATCAATTAAGACTCTAAATGACCTCAAACTTAATATATTTGTAAACAATAATATATAAATCAATAATAATATAAAATCTGTTATAATCCTGTTGGTTTACGTCGTACTCGAGGGAATTCTACTACTACGTCTGATGGGTCAGTTTTTTTAGCGCGCTCGGGTTTCCTTTTGATACGATCTGTTTTTTGTGAAGGCCCGGTTTGGTCCCGGCGACTCCTTAAACAGTTACACTCGAGAGGCAACCCCGCGGTATTGTTTTAAAATGACCACGATGCGTGCGCAGACGCGTATAATGCCTTCGCAGAAATGTGTTGCGGTTCACTTAATCCACTGTCATTTCATTATACGTCTTTTTTTTTATTTAATCAATCTTATTTGTTTGCAAATTATTGAATATCTACGCTGTTGATTATGAGTAACTCGTGTCGTAAGTTGTACTGTATAGTAAGTAATTAAAGTAGGAACTGTTAGTGCTGAATCAAGTTATAAGTATACATATATATTTTGTATAAACGTTAAAGTGCACTCGCGTATGTCGAATGTCGGCCGGCGGAATCAATACAATCTTTTGTTCCTCACAAGGCTCGCTTACGATAAGCGCATCCCATTCGGTCTAAGGACAGTAAAAGTATACATTTATTTGCTTTTTCTCTTTTCTGTTATGTCTAAATTCAGTCTTGACTTATTCCACGTAGTGTTGCCAGTGCAAAAACTTTTCATTTGTAAACAAGGCTTAGCTTTGTTTGGGTTGTATCATATACTATGTTTATGCGGCAGGTATATGTAGCTATATGTTTTATTTATGGTTATCATGAAATCTATTTTTTAACGTTTGTTATCGTTTTATGCAGAATCTTTTATCTTATGAAACTGAATGTACAGAAAACTCAATATTTACCAACACCTTAAATAGATTTGATAAATTGAAATCGTTACGTATCAGTATTTTAAAACACGATGTAAAGAGGTAATTACAATTTAAACATTGCATACTCAACAGACGCTCAATGTTAAATTTATTGTTTAAAAAACAACGTAATTAATACTCAAGTAATTATCGGCTATAGTGAGCTGTTTACATTTAATGACATTTTTAATCAAAACACGCTCTCGTTTCATGACATTATTGCAATCAACAGTGACAATTGCTTCGTAGTAAGCTTTAGTTTATAAGTAGGATGAAAATTACCATCGAATTACTGACGTTTATAGTTTTGAATGTAAATTCCTCGCATGATTCCCAAAATTCAAAGGGACAATTATGACCTATCAAAATTAGTATGAAATATTTCATGTTAACTAAAATGCTGCAGGCTTGATTTAATATTACATGCGTGGTAGCCGAATATGAGATTACTCTTGTGTTCAAGAAAATATTTGCAAAAAATTCGAACATCTTCAAAATAAACTAAAGCAGTATATTTTTTTTCTATATATATTATTTATTTAATGAAATGACTCAGAGTGTTTGATGCCAGAAGCCGTTCTCAATATTGATTATGCACCTAAAATGTATTCCAGTGATTTTGGCAAAGTTTGCGTGACACTTGGGGCGTTAACCGATTTAGGAAATATTTTTAGAGTTCGATGACTTTTGTTTAGAGGTCGTCACTGTTGCTAGGCCTCTTGCAGGATGA